AGCTTTTTAAGGAAGTGCCAAATCGATTTCCAAAATGGTAGTACCATTTTACATTCCCACCAACAGTGTGTAAGCGTTCCAGTCTCTCCACAACCTCTCCAGCATTTATTATTTTGTGTTTTTTGGATTAATGCTAGCCTTGTTGGGGTGAGATGATATCTCATTGAAGTTTTGATCTGCATTTCTCTAACGGCTAATGATCGTGAGCATTTCTTCATGTGTGTGTTAGCTGCCTGAATATCTTCTTTGGTGAAGTACCAGCCAAACGGTGAAATTCTTGAGAATAACTTGGGCAGGAGCCACCCATGGCATTCTGCAGGCAACCAAGAATAAGTTGCTGTCACTACCCACCCCCAAAACTATGCAGGAAGCCCAGTGTTTGGTTGGCCTATTTGGATTTTGGAGAATGCATATTCCACATCTGGAAATATTGCTGGCTCCCATCTATAAAACCACTCAGAAGAAAATTGCATTCAAATGGGGGCCAGAGCAACAGCAGGCTGTGTCTGAATTATAGAAAGCAGTCTCACTCTCTCTGCCTTTAGGCCTTTATGGTCCACATTCAGACATGATTTTGGAGGTGTCTGCCACATGTGCTTATGCAGACTGGAGCTTATGGCAAAAACCTGAGAACACTGCCCTATGGTAACCACTATGATTCTGGACTAGAAAGTTTACAGATGCTGCAGCACAATACATGCTATTTGAAATGCAATTACTCACCTGCTATTGGGTGTTAATTAAGAGTGTCTCGATGACAGAAGGACATAAAATCATCATGAGAACTGAAATACCCATAATGTCTTGGGTGATGTCAGAGAAACACTCTAATAAGGAAGGTAGTGCCCAAAAATAGTTCCATAATAAAATAAAAATGGTTCATACAAAAACAAGCTACTGGGGAAATGCAAGGAGGCATCCACCGTATCCACGAGCAGGTAGTCTCTTTTCCCATAGGTCCTATCCAAGAACCACCTGAGAAGCTGCCAAAGCCCATTGCTACAAGGACAGTGCCCTGTGAACAACTTTCTACTGACCAGCAGAAGGCTGCTTGGTTCGTGGATGACAGTTCCAGGGTACATGGACCACATTTGATGTGGAAAGCTGATGCATTAAGAACAGCATACGGAAAGACCCTGGTTAAAGAAGTTAAGAACAGGGCAGTTCAGTGGGCTGAACTGCATTGTCTTCATAGCTGTGATGGAAGAACTGGGCAATGGTGAGAGCCCATATGTTTGGATTTTCACCAATTCATGGACCATGGCAAACGGCCTGGCTATATGGTCAGACAAATGGTTGATGTAAAATTGGACTATTAAGGGGACACCTGTATGGGACATGGACCTAGGGAAAGCACTCTGGGAATTTACAGGGCACATTAGAGTAGGACATGTCAATGCCCATCAGAAGAACCCCCTTCCTGGGTTGGAAGGCCATTGGAATCAGCAAGTGGACCCAGTGGTACGCTAGACACATCCGTCTTGCACGCTCTGAGGCACAAAATGCCAATAAGGACTGCTCTGTCTGCCACCAAGAAAGACAGCTGTTGCAGATTGGCTATGGGGTAGATTCCCCAGGGGAAGGCCCTGCACTTAGCTGGCAAGTTGATTATATTGGACCACTGATGCTGGTGGCACCAGGTGGCTATAAATGGGTCCTCACAGAAATAGATACTTACTCTGGGCTGGGCTTTCCATATCCCATACAGATGTTAATGCCAAAAACACCACTAAGGGATTGGAACAAAAGATACTGTACCAATTTGGGCCACCAAGTTATATTTTACTAGACCAAGGGACACACTTTACAGTCCACGGGTGCAGCAATGGACCAAGAAACATCATATTAAACAGACATACCATATTGCATACCACCTTCAGAGTAATGGTTTGATAGAGAATTGGAATAAGCAGTTGAAACATCTGTTATCTAAAATGGGGGGGCAGATAAAGTCATGAAGGACTGGCTCACATGCCTTCATGAGTGTATGCTCACACTCAACATGAGGGAGGCAAGGGAAAGATCAGCACTGGATAGATTCTTGTTCTTCTAGAGGGGATGTGGGGAAGAGGTAGTGGGGAAGGATGCTGGTGCCACTGCACAGTTTTTCCTCACATCACCTAAAATTGCTTTTTTCTTGTCAGATGATGTTGTCCCAGGACCAGGGATGCAGTTGCGGGTGCCAGAAGCAGGGGTGATACCTGAGCAAAAGACTGTAACTGTACCCCTGAATCTGTATGCCAGAATTCCCAAAGGCCTGGTGGGATGGATTGTACCTTCCCTAATCTGGAAAAATTGGGGTTGACAGTGAATACTGTTGTATTGCTTCATGGTTGAGATAACCTGCTAGTGTTGTACCTATGTAACCCTACCCAACACAAATGGGAATGGACTGAGGGGGAAGCACTTGCTAGACTGGTCTTGCTACCAGCAATCTGGACAGGCACAACAGCTTAACTTGATGTACCTTCCCAAGGTGGAAAGTTTGGGTAAAAATAAACCACAAGTAGAAGGAAGGAGAAATAATAGCTGAAGGTAAAGGAATGAATAAATGGGTTATGCAGCAGGGGAAATCTAACATTACGCTGATACCTCGAAAGAGACTCAGAGCAAGGGAATAATCTTCTCTCTGCTAAATTTTACGAGAGGCCATAAAAGTGAAGCCCAGATGACTTTTGGAGAACCTAACTAGATCAGAGGGATACCTGCAGTAGACCTGAATGGCTAGTACCTGAGTAACCTCACCCTGAGGACTCTTTTGCCCTACTGAAGGACAAATTAATGACTATTTTGGACTAGTAAGGTAACTGGAGGGCGAAGTTAATCCTTCAAGTATGAAAGGGTCAATGGCTAGAAAAGTAGAGGAATGGCCTGCAGTGCCGTGAATTACTTAATATGGCCCCTCTAGCCATAGTCTTTGTGACTCTCACACAGTGATTGGTTGGGACTATGCAAATAAGGTGCTTGTGGCCCACCAAGAGGATTGGACAGCTTACTGCTAATGCAAATAAGGTGTATGGAGCCTGTGATGATTAAGGTTATGTGTCAACATGACTGGGCCATGATTTTCAGTGGTTTGGCAGTTATGCACTGATGTAATTTGGCAGTTATGTAATGGTATAGTCATCTTACATTTTGTGGTCTGATGTAATTATCCTCAGTTTTGTGATGTGCTGTAAATCCTAGCCCTTATGCCTGTGGTTCTAGTTCCATTTGGGAGTGAGTTGTCTGTTATGTTAGTGAGGCAGGATTAGGGTGGAATGTAGCTTGAGTCACCACCTTACTAGAGGGTGTGACTCAAGTCACCACCCTCACCCCCGTCACCACACTTACCACGCTTATTCAAGTCACACCTTTGCACCACCTTGCTCAAGTAAGGAGAGTTTCCTTGAGGGTATGGTCTGCATCCAGTATGTATATGAATGCTTTGGCAATGTTCTCTCTCTTGCTCTGGATCCTGCCTCTGGCTCATCATCATTTGACCTCTGGTTCTTGAGCCAGCAGCCCATCGTCTGATCTGCCGATTTATGTTCATCAGTTCCTGCAACCATGTGATTCAGAAGCTTACAGCCTGACACCTGACCCACAGATTTGGGACTTGCTAGACTCCACAACCTCATGAGTCATTTCCTTGATGGTTCATGAGTTCTGTGAGACTTGCAGGAAATCATGGAACCCAAACACAGGAGAGAGAGTACTAAGGTGAGGAAGAGTAGTTGATGTTAGAGATGATGGGGTGGTACAGCAGTTTGGAAAAGTTGGACATTTGAGACATCTTTACCCTCCACCTCATAGGAACCAGCTTTGTGCTGATCCTTCTAAAAGAAATTATTCATTTAACACCTGCGTCTTTTGACCCGGTAATTTCACTTCTCATTACCTACAGAAATATTTACACATGTGCACAAAAATAGCTCTATGGGTGTTCATCTGAATTTTTTACCATAGTGAAAAAATGGAAATTCCCTAAATTTTTACCAACATGGGAACAGATAAATTATACTATATCTATGGAATTAAGGGCAACAATTTAAAAGAATACTATGCACCTATATGTATAGACTTGGAAAAATTTCTAAGACATTAAGTGAAAAAGAGCAATGAGAAGAATAATTTGTACAGTACAGTTTATGTGTTAAAATTATTTGTATCTGTGATATATATGAACACAAATGCGTAGAAAAAGGCCTAGAAAGACACAATTGTTTAACAACGACTAGCTCTAAGGAGGGGACTGTATCTATTTCTGTACTGTTTGAATGTTTTACAATGAGAATATATTCTTGCATGGCACATTTTTTTTAAGCCAATGAAGATAAAATAATGGAGAAATTACCCACCCTTTATGTTTGAATTTTCTTTTCTGCCACTTACCAAGTATGAAATCTCAAATAAGTCATTAAACATCTGAATGTCTCAATCTCTTCATCTATAAAATGGGATAACACCTACCTTAACTCCTAGGTTGTTTTTGGAGTCTCCTTGGACTCCTCTTCTGTCACCCTCCACAACTATTCTTCCTCCGTAACGGGTCTATTAACTGGGAATGTTTCCATTCTCACTACTGTCTCTATCTAATCCATATTGTCAGCCCCTAGGAGATTAGCTAAATGTTCCTCTCCTTTTGAACTCCTTCAGTGGTTCCTCATTGCCTATCAAATTAGATACAAATGTCTTAATCCAGTTCAAGACCCTCCACAATCTGAGGCCCACCATTCATATCCCTCACCACTGGCTTCCCTATACCAATGGAAGCCAGGCTATGGATGATCTCTGAACCTTGACCCTTGCTTTTTTCAGCCATGCCTTTGCATTTGCTCTTCCCCATAAATGGACTGTCCTCCACCCTAACCCTCTTTCCAGCCTGAAGGCTTCTCCCACACCCCACTCCAATAAAAGTGATTTCACTTTCTTTGAACTCCGATAGCACAGATCCTCAGTATTTTATTTAATTACCCCAATTAAACTGAAAAGTTCTTTTGAAGGAAAGAACTTTATTCATCATTGTGTCTAGCACAGTCATATGGAGAGTGGGTGATCAATAAATACTTGAATACATGAATAGCAATAACACAACAATTGAGTTTTAATAAATTAGTATAGGTTCTAAAGATAAAAAAATTATCAACAGAACTGATATTCAGCCAGTACACATAAGGATGGACACACCAGTTATAAAATATTGAAGTACTGCCCATGGAAATACTTTCCAACCATTGCCCCTTGCCACCCAAATGCCTCCCCCTACCACTGCTGGCCTGGTCTCTCCTCACGTAGGAACACCTGGACTCCCACAGTCTCCCAACTAAAAGGTCAGTGACTTGAACAGCAAAGAGCACCCAGGACCCTGCTCCAGCCAGGGCAGGAGTATCCATTCCAATTGATCAGGACCTATACCGTTTCATTGTTACATATTTTGATATCCACCCCAGATTATCAAATTTAATGATGCAGTTTGAAATCTTTGCTTCTCCTCATTGCAAAATTTCTTAGAAAAGTCAGCAGATCCAGAGACAGAAAAGGAAAATAATAGTTTGTCTCTGAAGGTTTAGAGTACATCCATTAGTACTCCAACTTCGTATAAACCAGAAGATATGCAGTTTCGTTCCTAGAAAGAAAAATGTACATCAGCAATAGCAGAAATGAAGCATTTAGAGTCAAAGGATGCATCAGTGTATAATAGGACAAGCGTCAGCAAACTTCTGGGTTGTTGGGTCAAGTCTTCATCTATCTATCACCTCAGAGAATAACCTGAGAAAATAACCCCTAAGCTGTTATTAGCTAATATCTAAATCACGGGTTGACAAACTATGGGCCCATAAGCCAAATCTGGCCTGCCACTTGTTTTTATAAATAAAATTTTATTGGAACAAAGCCACACTCATTAGTTTACATATTTTCTATGGCTGCTATCGTGCTACAGTGGGAGAGTTGAGTAGTTGCAACAGAAATGGTATGACCCACAAAGCCTAAAATATTTGCTCTCTGGCCCTCTGTGGAGAAAGTTTGCCAACCACTGATGTAAATCATGGGGGAATGACCAACAACCAGAAAGTGACAAAGACGGGGCATCTAAGGGAGATGCTTGGAAGAAAGGGAAGAGAAAGATGAAAAAGTGGAAGGTTACAAGGGAGAATGAAAAAAAACAAAGACACAAGGGAAAGATTAGTCCAAAGGACCAATGGACCACAACTACCACAGACTCCACCAGACTGAGTCCAGCACAACTAGATGGTGCCCAGCTACCAATGACAACAGCTCTGAAAGGGATCACAATAGAGGGTCACAGACAGAGCTGGAGAAAAATGTACAACAAAATTCTAACTCACAAAAAAAGACCAGACTTACTGGTCTGACAGAGACTGGAGAAACCCCAAGAGTATGACCCCTGGACACCCTTTTAACTCAGTACTGAAGTCACTCCTGAGGTTCACCCTTCAGCCAAAGATTAGACAGGCCCATAAAACAAAATGATACTAAATGGGCACACCAGCCCAGGGGCAAGGACAAGAAGCCAGGAGAGGACAGGAAAGCTGGTGTTATGGATTGAATCGTATCCCCCAAAAATATCTGTCAACTTGGCTAGGCCATGATTCCCAGTATTGTGTGACTGATTGTCAACCATTTTGTTATCTGATGTGATTTTCCTATGTGCTGTAAATCCTATCTCTATGATGTTAATGAGGTAGGATTAGTGGTAGTTATATTGATGAGGCAGGACTCAATCTACAAGATTAGATTGTGTCTTAAGCCAATCTCTTTTGAGATATAAAAGAGAGATGGGAGCAGAGACATGGGGACCTTAAACCACGAAGAAAACAGCATCGGGAGCAAAGCGCATCCTTTGGACCTAGGGTTCCTGCACAGAGAAGCTCTCAGACCAGGAGAAGACTGATGACAAGGACCTTCCCCAGAGCCAAGAGAGAAAGAAAGCCTTCCCCTGGAGCTGGCGCCCTGAATTCGGACTTCTAGCCTCCTAGACTGTGAGAGAATAAACTTCTGTTTGTTAAAGCCATCCACTTGTGGTACTTCTGTTATAGCAGTACTAGATAACCAAGATAGCTGGTAATGGGGAACCCGAAGTTGAGAAGGGGAGTGTTGTTGGCATGCCGTAGGGTTGGCAACTGCTGTCACAAACTAATATGTATATTAATTGTTTAATGAGAAACTAATTTTCTCTGTATACCTTCATCTAAAGTACAATACAAAATAATAATAAAATAAAATATGAAATCTAAAAAAAAAAAGTGGAAGGTTAGAAGAGAATTCCAAACACAAACTTAACCTAATTCATTCTTTTGCAAATTATCAGGCATACTTCTGCAACTGAAAATCATCTCAAATATACCCTATGGTATATAATCACCCCTGCCCCAGAAATTCAACTAGAGAAACTTAAGTCTCTTTTGCTTTAACTCCATCCAGCTTTTTTCTCTCCAGATTCCCCTCTGTTGTTGTTGTTAGCTGCCACTGAGTTGCCCCTGACTGATGGTGACTACATGCACAACGAAACAAAACACTGCCAGGTTCTGCACCATCCCCATGATTGGTTGTGGATTGGACCATTGTGACCCACTGGGTTTTCACTGGCTGATTTTCAGTAGATGGCCAGGCCTTTCTTCCTCGTCTTTGTCTGGAAGTTCCCTGAAACCTGTTAAGCATCTTAGCAAAACACAAGCCTCTACGGACAGATGGGTGGTGGCTGCTCATAAGGTACATTAACTGGGAATCAAACCCAGGTCTACCACATGGAAGGCAGTAATTCTACCATTGAACAACCATTGCCCCCTTCCCCTCTATAGTTATTTTTTAAAAAACATATATTAAGTACTTATTAAATGTAAGCCATTGTACTAGACAAAGGTAAAGGAGCTCGGGTGGTGCAGTGGTTAAAGCGCTCAGCTGCTATCCTTAAAAGGTCGGCACTTTGAACCCACCAGCCGCTCTACAGTCCGCTTCCGTAAAGATTACAGCCTTGGAAACCCTATGAGGCAGTGCTACTCTGTCCTATAGGGTTGCTATGAGTCGGAATCAACTCGATGGCAATGGATTTGGTTGGGTTTGGTTTGCCCCTCAAATAGTTCATGATCTAATGTGAAATAAAGTTCTGTAAGCAAACAATTATAATACAGTGGGATTCTTGCTAAAAAGGAGGTATGTTCAAAATGCAGTGAATCTATATAAGAAGCCCCCACAAATCTGCCTGGGCAAGTCATTGAAAGCTTTACAGAGTAGGAAAAGGCCACGAGCAGAGGTATTGAAGCATGAGTAGGAGTTTGCCTGGATAATAAGAGAGGGTGATTTAGGCCAGGAACTGCATGTGCAAAGTCACAGAGTATGTGATATTTGGGGAGCTTCTTGTGCTGGAGTCTGAATTGTGAGAAAAGCATGGTGGAGTGCAACAGATGTTGAAAGATGAGGCTGACTGGGGAGTCATCAGCATATAAGTGATAGCTGAATCCATAAGAGTTTCATTTATCTCTACCAATCCTGGGTAAGCTCAGCAGGTTTCCACCACCTAAATGCTTCTCTTACCAGCGGTAGTTATGATTCCCATACGTACACCGGATGTCCTCCCAGGACACCTGAAAGTACATAAACAGATGAAGTCAAGCAGCCAGCCAACATTTATCCAGAGAGTACAGGGTGCTACAATTTGCCTTCTTCCACTCCTCCAGACAAACCCATCCTAGGGACTCCCAAAATCCTGAAACATCTAGTGATAAAATGCCATGTATATGAAGTCTCTTTTATTATCCTTGTCCCTCTGTTTAAACTTGGCTATGCTTAGCCTAGAGTTCCAGCTTCCATACTTCTAACTCCTCTTGCTTTCCAGAAGTTTCCCACAGAGCATGAAGGGTACTGAGCTTACAGCACCAAAAACCTAGACACTGAGATAAGTGGACTCTGACAGAGCTATGAATCAGATGGAGGATTTCATGCAGAAAAGGGCTTTAAACCCCACTATAGGCCCCACACACAGAGAACAAGATCACAACGTGTCTTGACCTCAAGAATCCATCCAGTCCTGGGCTCAGAATTTATTAAACCATAAACCAGTCGCCATCAAGTCACCTCTGACCTCTGGATGATCGCACCTCCGGGTGGACTCAAACCTCCAACTTTTGGGTTAGCAGCCAAGCGTGATAACCATTTGTACCATCCAGGGACTCCCAGAATTTATTAGAGGTGGCTAATCCAGGGCAAGGGGCAAATTTGGATGGATGTTTCTCACCGAACAGACACTGGAGTCGTTGAAGCAGAACCATTTGCCATCCACAGAATTCCGGATATAGGCACAGTAATGACCAAAGTCAGCCACTCCCACATGGGCAATTACAGCAAAGAGCTCATAACGCCCTTCAGGCTGAAAGGAGACAAGATACAAAATGACTCACCCACCACCCCTCCTTTTCTCACCCTAGCTTAGAATAAAACCAAATCTGTTGCCATTGAGTCGGTTCTGATTCATAGTGACCCTACAGGACAGAGTAGAACTGCCCCATTGGGTTTCTGAGGAGTAACTGGTGGATTTGAACTGCCGACCTTCTGGTTAGCAGCTGAGGTCTTAACCACTGCACCACCAGGGTTCCAGCCTAGGATAAACCAAAAACCAAAACCAAACCCACTGCTGTGAATTAATTCCAACTCATATAGCTTCTAAGGAGCACCTGGTGGATTTGAACTGCTGACCTTTTGGTTAGCAGCTATAGCTCTTAACCACCATACCACCAGGGTTTCCAGCCTAGGATAAGAAGACATTATTTCATCACACATTTAATGTGTGTCTACTGTATGCCAGGCACTGGTGCTTTGAAAGCATTTGACCTCAGTAAACTCACAGCTAATTTAAAGGGCAAATCTATAAGCAGAATTATAACACCATGTTTTACACATGGGTTTGAACCAGTTCTTCCCGGTTCAGTCATGGCTGACGCAGCAAAATTGGAACAGACCAGAATTTGTAAAATGTGGGTGTACTGGAATGGGAAAAATTATGGGTCGAAACCCTGGAATGGGAGACTCAGAAGAGGAGTGGAGAGCCCTGTCAGGAGCCTGGTGCAGAAGACTGGATTATTATCAGGACTATGGAGAGTGAGGAAACCCTGGTGGTGTAGTGGTTAAGAGCTATGTCTGCTAACCAAAAGGTCAGCAGTTCAAATCTACCAGGCACTCCTTAGAAACCCTATGGGGCAGTTCTACTCTGTCCTATAGGATCGCTATGAGTTGGAATCAACTCGACAACAATGAGTTGGAATCAACTCAACAACAATGAGTTTGGTCTCTTTCTGGTGGAGAGTGACACACATTTATAGCAACGAGGTCGGCCACCATTGTTTCTGACTCTGCCAATCAAGAGACTTGGTTGCTAAGCAACGTGCACACTGCCCTTGTTTTCTAAGAGGGAGATTAAGTTTCTAGCAGGGCATTGACCCGTAATTTTTACCGATCCAGTTATTGTTCCAGTACACCCACATTTTACAAATCTGGGTCCGTTCAGGTGTTGCTTAGTTGGCCATGACTGAACTGGGAAGAAGTGGTTCGAAAGCCTGGTTATATACCAGATGTATTTACAGATTAATTTGGGAAGGCTCAGTCTGCTCCCCCGCCCCCACACCCCAACAACAACAACAACAAAAAGTAAAAGGAGCAACCAGCTAAGCAAAGACTAAGAAATTGAGGAAGCCTCCCCAGAACAGACATACTGGAGATGATCTTGCAGGATAAACAAGATTGGCAGACCAGTTGTGAGGAGGGGGTATTCTTCAATGTGGATCTAGAATTTGCAAAGACTCAGCAGCATAACAGAGCAGAGTATATTGAGAGAATGGGAGGCAGGGAAGGTGCTGAGAAGTCACAAGAGATGAGGCTACAGAGACCAAATCAGAAATTAGAACTTTATCCTGTGAGTGTTGGGGAGCCACAGAAGGTTTTAAGAGAAGGAGTAACATCATCAGATTTGTGTTTTAGAAACACACTTACATGTGGTTTGAGAAGTGGGTAGGGAGTTGAGGTGAGCCAGGAGACAAAGAGATGAATTAGGGTACCACATGCTACAAGGAAGAAATGGTGATAGCCTGAATAATTACTATCAGTAGTCATTATAAGGATAATAATTACTAACGTATCAATCATTACCTAACTGTTAGCATTTACGATGCATTTGACTAAATCCTTTACATGAATTATTTCATTCAATACAACAACCCTATGAGGTAGGTGCTATTATAAACCCTGTTTTATAGAGGCAGAATCTGAGCTCAGGGCAGTAAAGTAATTTGCCCAAGGTCAGAGCTTATAAACAAAAGAGGCAGAATTTAAACCCAGGCCTGTCTGGTTTCAGTGCCCAAGCACTTAACGCCTGTGCTATACTGAGATAGTTAGAAGGGAAGTTGAAAGGAGAGGACAGATTTGTGCAAAATTAGGTAGAAATAACCAAAGGTACTTTATGATTGATTGAATGTGGGGGTGGGAATAGGAGAAGTTAAGGGTAAATCCCAGATTTCCGGTGTAGAAATTAAGAAGATGGTGATACTACCAAGTTAAATATGGAATAGACCTGGCAGGAGGAATAGTTTGAGAATGAAGATAATGTATTCATTTGGGGTCTGTGTGAAATCTATGTGGTGACATTCAGCAAGGAGGTGGATAGATGGGTTTGGAGCTCAAGAGAAAGGCCTAGACAAGATACAGACTCGGAGGTCATCAAACAAAACAATGAAACAGAACAGATATTCCAAAAACAGACCCATATACATATGGGAATACAGAATTTTCTAAATGTAGTATTTCAAACCTACGGAGAAAAGATACTTAAGTAATTTTTTTTTCCCTCAGTGTCTTCTAATAAGTTACTAGCTCAGGACAACCGAATTCAACTTTACTGTAATTTAACTCGGCCCAATGAACTGGCTACTTTCTTATTAGCCCTAAAGTGGGCACACGTTATTTTAATAAGAGAGTTTGGCTGATAGTCTACTGAGGACACAAAATGTTGTGTTTACCTGTGTATTTGTAAGCACTGCACACATTATCGCAGAAGGAAGGTACTGAATTGTGGGTGCCTTCCATTAGTGCTCTGAGGCATTATGAGTGCAAACTCAATACTTAGAAATAAGAAAATCTTTTGAATCTTAAGAGAAAAGAAAGGCAACTACAGGCAGCAAGTGCTGGTGGTAGTAGTTTGGTGATAACAACCCATCATAGTTATTCAGGACACACAAGTTTCCGTCATTAAAACGTTTCTTTAAAAATTAGGTTTGCTCACCCTGACAGGGAACACAACAGAGAGTCCCTGACAGAGCAGGAGAAAAGTGTGGTGCAGAACTCAAATTCACATAAGAAGACCAGACTTAATAGTCTGACTGAGACTGGAGGAACCTCCGAAGACATGGATCCTGGACGCTGTGTTAACCCAGAACTAAAACGATTCCCGAAGCCAACTCTTCAGGCAAAGATTAGACTGGACTATAAAACATAAAATAATACTCAAGAAGAGTGTGCTTCTTACTTCAAGCAGATACACAAGACTAAATGGGCAGCTCCTATCCACAGGTAGGATGAGAAGTCAGGAAGGGACAGGAGCTGGTTGGATGGACATGGGAAACCCGGGGTGGAAAGGGGGAGCGTGCTGTCACATTATAGGGATTGCAACTAGCGTCACATAACAATATGTGTATAAATTTTTGTACGTGAAATTAACTTGTGCTGTAAACTTTCACCTAAAGCACAATTTTAAAAAAAATTAGGTTTGCCGACTTTATGAATATGCTTCTATGAATCACATCAAGCAGTGCGTGAGTTTTCCTCACTCTGTTTATACATGGCCAGGAAGGGGCATTATTTCTGAGATGAGGGGAGGACGCTGAGGAGACACCCAAAGGTGCGTCTCTGATAAGTGGTGACTTCCGGAAGAGGCAGAATTGAGGGGACGTCGTGTCTGATGAGATGGAGGATGGAAAGGAGGTTGGGAGCATCTCACCTGGTCCTCAGCATTGCAGAGGTCTTGCTCAGTCGGAAGGACCTGATTGAAGTCCAAGCTCTGGGGGAAACACAATGAGTGGCAGATCTTTTCTGTCTTCGAATTCCTGATGCAGAACCGCAAGAGGTGGATTGTCAAGGTCTGGGGCAAACGGTTCAGCTTCAAGACCTGGAAAGCAAAATCACTGTGGAAGTGAAGTGGGTAGGTTCAGAGAAATACCAGGGCTGGTGGTATGCTCTTCTTCCCAAAGAGCTGACTGATAAAATGCAGAGCAAGGGCACCATTCGCTGACTCTGTGGGGCTCCCCCAAGAGCAATGTGATATTTGGCTATTATGTTATTGCTGTCTCCCACAGAAGGCATGAGCAACCCCAGGGTTCTGTGTGGGGGCTCCTACCTGGTGATCTGAGGGAGGTAGTTTAACCCTAAAGAAAAAAAAAAAAACTGCCTATAAAGGTTGGCAGTTCAAACCCACCAGCTGATCCCTGGAAACCCTATGCGATAGTTCTTCTCTGTCCTCTAGGGGCACTATGGGTCGGAATTCACTCGATGGCAATGGGTTTTTGTTATACTGCTCTTGGGAAGTCTCTGGGTGGTACTGCAAATGTGCTCAGCTGCTACCAAAAGGCTGGAGGCTCCAGTCCACCCAGAGGTACCTTGGAAGAAAGGCCTAGCAATCTACTTCCCAAAAATCAGCCAATGAAAACTCTACGGAACACAGTTCTACTCTGACACACAAGTCACCATGACTCAGGGTCGACTCGACGGCAACCAGTTTACTGGTCTTGGTCTCAGACCTTCTTCTCTTGTCCTTAAAAGGCATGGTGTACTATCCATTTCAGTGATGTGACCTGAGGAGCCATGTCCACAGTTCCTGAACTCAGAAGTCCCAGGATCTCAGACTCTAGCCTGACCCTATTCTCTCCCTCAACCACCGACGGTGCCCTCAGGACTCTGTGAAGACACTACAGAACCCCCATGTCAGACTCTAAGGACCCAGAAATCCACCAGGGGCAGCTCCAGACTAGGTAAGCATCTGGTTAAAGGGAATGAGTACCTGCTTCCCATGGCTCTTCTTCCCACAGTTCTGACAGAAGCACTTGCTTTCGGCTGATAACTCCTTGGGTTGGAAGAAACACTGCAGGGCATCCTCCTGTCCCAGGAGAAAAAGGAAAAAATAGGGTTGGTATTTCCCTTCTAGAGTACAACGCCCCACCCTTGTGAATGGAGATTAAAACCTTTATTCTGGTTCTCTCCACTTCGTCCCTTAACATCTGGCCCAGGGTAGTGCACTTGGCAAGATCTCAAAAAGTTCTTACTGATTAGAGGTGGGAAAATAGTAGGGGCACTTGTTAAGCGAGCAGTGTGAGGAAAGAGGAGTTAAGAGGGGGAAAAAATACATATATATATATATATATATATATATGTATATATATATATATTTAAATATATATATAAATATATTAAAAATATATTTTTTCCCCCAAATCAAAGGAGAACTTGACCAGAACGATGCAAACGAAATAGTGACTCTTTTTTTAAGCCAAGAAAACCCAAAACCAAACCCACTGCTGTCGAGTCAATTCCAACTCATGGTGACCCCATGTGTTACAGAGTAGAACTGCTGCATAGGGTTTTCTTGACTGTAACCTTTACTGAAGCAGATCACCAGGCCTTTCTTCCGTGGTGCTGCTGGGTGGGTTTAAATTGCCAACCTTTGAGTTAGTTGTCAAGCACAAACTGTTTGCGCCACCCAGGAGCCTTTTTAAAAGCCTTGGGTGGTTAAAGGAAGCAAGGGGGCATTGGCCACATTGGGTTGCCTGGGAACGCAAATTCACCAAGAGAAAACTCTTACCAGTGTTCTCAAGGGCTTTGAGTCTATATCAAAAAGGGAAAGAGGGAGGGTCAGCATTTTACTGTTTCTGCTACTCTCCACAGAACAATCAAGGCAAACCAAGGTCTCCTTCATCTGGATAGTATACAGGGCCTGCAGCCTCTCTACCTGCAAGAGGGAGGTGAAGACAGGTAAGACAGCTACCACAGCCACAAAACAGGTTCAGCCAGTTTCTGGAAGTTGGAGCCACCACACAGAGGCTCCTGAGATGGCAGCCACTATGATCCTTGCCCTAGCCATAATGTGCAAAATAATAACAGTAACAATATTATGGAACTCTGATAAGCATTTTACACAGATTGCCTCTTTTAATCCTCCCGACACACTACATAAACGTTACTTGAATGAGTTAAATGAGCAGCATCTTAAACTTCTGAGTTCTCTAGTTCTGGGCTCTTACCAAGTCCACATCAGTGATTTGGTCCTTAATCAGGTTCCAGACTATGAGGTAGAGTTGAGCAGCATCATGCTGGACAAACACTGGCGAAAGAGAAAAGTCACAGCCTAATTAGTGAGGTCACCAGGCACACTTCTCACACTCCTGTGCCCTAGCTACCCAGATGCACATGAACACTCATCACTTTGTCTTTTCCACGCCCTGTAAGGGCTAAGTTTCCACTACACGTTAAGGGCTCAATAAGTGAAAAATAAGCTTGGTACTGGTTTTTGAAGACTCCTCTTTAAACCTGAGCTCCAGACCCACATAACTTCTAACTGCATGGCACAAGTTCCTTCTCCTTTCACTTACACTCAACCCTGCTGGCCTTCGTTGAGGGACCCACTACATGGAACCAATAGCTAATAGTGGATTTTCTCTGTATCTAAGCTGAGCCAATACTCTAACTGTAACACTAACTGGACACTTATTTATCTACCCTTTATCTATTTCTTTATTCGCCCCCTCCCTAAAAATTGAGCAGTTTCCCAATACTGATATCTGACCCATGTTTTCCCCAAAGGTGTTTGGGTGAACAAGAAAGGAAAGAACAATCTCAGTGTTAGATGATGCTGGCTAAGAGGGGGAACATTTAGCTATGAATTTCTACATATGTTATAATATTTTTATAAACTAGCAATGAACTAAAGGAACAACTCCATTTACAATAGCATCAAAAAGAATAAAATACTTGGGAATAAATTTAACAGAAGAAGCACTAGACTTGTGCAATAAAAGCTACAAACAATTTTGGAAAGGAATTAAAGACCTAACTAAATGGAGAGCCATCCAATGTTAATAGTTCAGAAGACTTCATACTGCTAAGATAGCATATTCCCCAAAATGATCCCCACATTCTAATAGGTAAGTGGTAACTTTGGTGAAGACAGTACAATACTGGGGAAGTCAGCATAACTTGACCAAGGCAAAGTCACAGAAGCTTCACAGACACAGCCAAACTCTCTGAGAGACCGAATTACTGGGCTGAGGGCTAAGGACCATGGTCTTGGGGGACATCCAGCTCAACTGGCATAACATAGTTTATAAAGAAAATGTTCTACATCCTAGTTTGGTGAGTAGCATCTGGGGGTCTTAAAAGCTTGTGAGCAGCCATCTAAGATACTCCACTGGTCCCACCCTGTCTGGAGGAGAATGAAGAAAAGCAAAGATACAAGAGAAAGATTAGTCCAAAGGACTAGTGGACCACAACTATCACAGCCTCCACCAGACTGAGTCCGGCACAAATAGTCCAGCTACCACCACCAACTGCTCCGACAGGGATCACAATAGAGGGTCCCAGAGAGAGCTGGAGAAAAATGTACAACAAAATTCTAACTCACAAAAAAAAGACCAGACTTACTGGTCTGACAAAGACTGGAGAAACCTGGAGAGTATGGCCCCAGACAGCTCAGTAATGAAGTCACTCCTGAGGTTCACCCTTCAGCCAAAGATTAGACAGGCCCATAAAACAAAATGAGACTAAATGGGTATACCAGCCCAGGGGCAAGGATAAGAAGGCAGGAGGGGACAGGAAAGCTGAACGAATGGAAATGGGGAACCCAAAGTCGAGAAGGGGAGACTGTTACACGTCACGGCGTTGACAACCAATGTCACAAAACAGTATGTGTATTAATTGTTTAATGAGAAACTAGTTTGCTCTGTAAACCTTCATCTGAAGCACAATTTTTAAAAAAAGGAAAAAAAATTCTCCACACATTCAATGCACTCCCTATCAAAATCTCAGCTGGATTTTTTTTTGCAGAAATTGGTAATTCTAAAATTCGTGTGGAAATGCAAAGGACCCAGAATAGACAAAACAATCCTAAAAAGGAAAAACAAAGTTGGAGGGCTCACCCTTCCTGGTTTCAAACCTTCCTATAATGCTACATTTATCAAGACAGTCTCGTACTGGCATAAAGATAGACATAAAAAGTCAATGGCTAGAATTAAGAATCCAAAAATAAACACTTATGTTTATGGTCAACTGATTTTCAACAAGGGTGCCAAAACAATTCAATGGGGAAAGAACACTCTTCTCAGTAGATGGTGCTAGAACAAACGGATGTCCACATGCAAAAGATTGAAGTTGAACCTCTACCTAACACCATACCCAAAAATTAACTCAAAATAGAAAAAAGACCTAAATGTAAAAGCTGAAAGTACAAAATTTAAAAGAAAGTAACAAAGAATCGGGAATGACTGCTAATTGGTATGGGGTTTCTTTTGGGGGGGAAGACAATGTTGTAAAAGCACATTTTGATGATGGGTGCACAACTGTGTCCATACCAAAATCTTCTGAATTGTACATTTTAAATAGATTATACAAAAGAATTATATAGTATGTAAGTTATATCTCAAAGCTATTTTTTAAAAAACTAATCTATTTATGAATTCTTTTTGTAGAACATAGTTTCTCCTTTCTATTCCTTTCTTGTATATTCCTGAGATTCTTTACCTGTGGCTGAATGACCTTTCAGAAAACTCTCATGCTTACCTACTCTACTGAGTAGTATGGGTGAATATGAGAGTAGTATGTGCATAAATAATATTCATTCTGCACCTTGTAAAAATGTGTGGCTCTTCAAAGTTTTTCAGATTAGGTCCTCCAATACAAAGGTTCAGAGTCTACCTAACGCCCTTCTTGTTCATTCTTGTTCATTCACTGCCCATGAGCCCCCCTCCTCTTCACTCTCTCTCAAGCCCCAACTCCATCTGGAGCACTCGGCCAGTCTTACAGGGCACTCTGTACTTCTGGAGGCAGTAGGCGAGCTCCAGGGGCTGCACTGCTTTCTGCCGGCTGTCCTGCATCTTCTCCAGCAGCAAAAGCAATTGGAAGGGGACACTTCTCTTCTGCTCTTCAACTCCCCTGGGCACTGTTATCCTGACCAAAAAAAACAGCTAGTTGGTGTCTGAGGTCTTAAAAGCTTGCAAGCGGCCATCTAAGATGCAAGAATCGGTCCCAATCACCTGGAGTAAAGGAGAATGATGAACACCAAAGACACGAGGAATGTATTAGCTGAAGAGACAGAAAGGGCCACATAAACTAGAGACTTCATCAGCCTGAGACCAGAGGAACTAGATGGTGCCCAGCTACCACCAATGACCACCCTGACAGGGAACACAACAGAGAGTCCCTGACGGAGCAGGAGAAAGGTAGGGTGCACAACTCAAATTCTAGTAAAAAGACCAGACTTAATGGTCTGAGACTGGAGGAACCCCAGAAAGCACGGCCCCCGGATGCTCTATCAGCCCAGAACTAAAACAATTTCCGAGGCCAGCTTTTCAGAGAAAGATTGGACTGGACTGTGGGACATAAAGTGATACTTGTGAAGAGTGTGCTTCTTAGCTCAAGTAGGTTCATGAGACTAAACGGGCAGCTTCTGTCCGGAGGTGAGATGAGAAGGCAGAGAGGGTCAGGAGCTTGTTGAATGGACACGGGGAATCAAGGGTGGAAAGGAGGACCATGCTGTCACAGTGTGGGGAGAGCAATTAGAGTCCCTTAACAGTGTATGTATAAATTTTTGTATGGGAAAAAATTTTTTTAAAAAAAAACAGCTAGTTATTGGTGGTACCAGGGGTGGGAGAAGGGCGAAACAGGGAGTCATTGGTTAGGCACTGAGCTTTTGTTGAGGGTGATGGAAAAATCTGGAAATGGATAGCGATGATGGTTGCACAACATGATGAATGGAATCAATGTCACTGAATGTACGTGTAAAAAATGTTGAAATGCCAAATGTTTTGTTCGATATAGTTTCGCCACAAAAAAATAAGTATATAAAAACAGGCCAGGAACCTCCTTATACTCATGGTTCTCAACATTATGTGCACATTTGGAATCACCTGGGCAGCTTTTAAAAGTCCCCATGTACAGGTCACTCCCTAGAGGAGCTAAATCAGAATTTCTGGGAGTGGGGCCCAATTCTCAGAATGTGTTCATTCCCCAGATGATTCCAATGTACAGCCAGGGTTGAGAACCACTGCACAGAGTACCCACTGGAGAGAGGGACCAAACAACTGCTGCCTCATCCCTCCCTACCCTGCCCAACAATCGCACTAGAATGAAGGGAAGATATACTAGGTCCTGGGACCACTCCTAGGCCAAGCAGAAAGATGTCCAGCCCAAAGCACTCCAAACTGAAAGACAAACAATGTGCTCAAAAGATAGCATGAAGGGATGCCAGTGTATTTTAGCAATGATTCATTAATTATAAGCATCTCTCAATTTCCCATGCCAGTGGAGTGGGAAAAGGAGAAAGTATGGGGCAAAAAGGAATGAGTGATAGAAAGTGTGTGTATATGTATTAGGTGTGAGAAAAATCAGTAGAGTGACTCACAGACCTACACACTGACTTATACTTTCTCTGACATTGACCTAGTCCCAACTCCCTTTTAACCAAATCCAGTTGTTATCAAATCAATTCCAACTCACGGTGACTCCATGGGTGTCAGAGAAGAACTGCCCCATAGGGTTTCCAAGGAGCAGCTGCTGTTGTTAGGTGCCGTCAAGTCTGTTCCGACTCACAGCGACCCTATGTACAACACAACGAAACACTGCCTGGTCCTGTGCCATCCTCACAATCGTTGTTATGCTTAAACCCATTGTGGCAGCCACTGTGTCAATCCATCTCCTTAAGGGCCTTACTCTTTTTTGCTGACCCTCTACTTTACCAAGCATGATGTCCTTCTCCAGGGACTGGTCCCTCCTGATAACAGGACCAAAGTATGTGAGATGAAGTCTTGCCATCCTTGCTTCTAATGAGCATTTTGGCTGTACTTCTTCCAAGACAGATTTGTTCCTTCTTCTGGCAGTCCATGGTATATTCAATATTCTTTGCCAACACCATAATTCAAAGACATCAGTTCTTCTTTGGTCTTCGTTATTCACTGTTCAGTTTTCTCATGCATATGAGGTGAGTGAAAACACCACGGCTTGGGTCAGGCACACCTTAGTCCTTAAAGTGACATCTTTGGTTTTTAACACATTAAAGAGGTCTTTTGCAGCAGATCTGTCCAATGTAATGCATCTTTTGATTTCTTGACTACTGCTTCCATGGGTGTTAACTGTGGATCCAAGTAAAATGAAATCCTTGACAACTTCAATCTTTTCTCTGTTTATCATGATGGTGCTTAATGGTCCAGTTGTGAGGATTGTTTTCTTTACGTTGAGGTGCAACCCATACTGAAGGCTGTAGTCTTTGATCTTCATCAATAAGTGTTTCAAGTCCTCTTCACTTTCAGCAAGCAAGGTTGTATCATCTGCATATTGCAGGTTGTTACTAAGTCTTCGTCCAATCCTGATGCCACATTCTTCTTCATATAGTCCAGCTTCTCAGATTATTTGCTCAGCATACAGATTAAATAAATATGGTGAAAGGATACAACCCTGGCTCACACCTTTCCTGACTTTACACCAGGAAGTATCCCCTTGTTCTGTTCTACACAGGTTCCTCATGAGGACAATTAAGTGTTCTGGAATTCCCATTCTTCAAAATGTTACCCACAATTTGTTATGATCCACAGTTGAATGCCTTTGCATAGTCAATAAAACACAGGTAAACATCTTTCTGGTATTCTCTGCTTTCAGCCAAGATCCATGTGACATCAGCAATGATATCCCTTGTTCTACATCCTCTTCTGAATCTGGCTTGAATTTCTGGCAGTTCCCTGTCGATGTACTGCTGCAACCTCTTTTGAACGATCTTCAGCAAAATTTTAGTTGTGTGTGATATTAATGATATCAATAATTTCTGCATTCTGTTGGATCACCTTTCTTTGGAATGGGTACAAATACGGATGTCTTCCAGTCGGTTGGCCAGGTAGTCTTCCAAATTTCTTGGCATAGACAAGTGAGCACCTCCAGCACTGCGTCAGTTTGGTGAAACATTTCAATTAATATTCTGTCAATTCCTGGAGTCCTGTTTTTTGCCAATGCCTCTTCCTTCATTACCATCAGTTCTTAATAATACGCTACCTCCTGAAATGGCGGAACATCCATCAGTTCTTTTTGGTACAGTGACTCTGTGTATTCCTTCCACCTTCTTTTGATGCTTTCTGAGTTGTTTAATACTTTCCCCATAGAATCCTTCAATATTGCAACTTGAGGCTTGAAGTTTTTCCTCAGTTCTTCCAGCTTGAGAAATGCCAAACATGTTCCTCCTTTTTGGTTTTCTATCTCCGGGTCTTTGCACATTTCATTATAATTCTTTATCTTGTCTTCTTGAGCCGCCCTTTGAAATCTTCTATTCAGCTCTTTTACTTCATCATTTCTTCCCTTCACTTTAGCTATTCGAAGTTCAAGAGCAAGTTTCAGAGTCTCTTCTGACATCCATTTTGGTCTTTTCTTTCTTTCCCATCTTTTTAACGACCTCTTGCTTTCTTCATGTCATTCCACAACTCTTCTGGTCTTCGGTCATTAGTGTTCAGTGCATCAGATCTATTCTTGAGATGGTCTCTAAACTCAGGTGGGATATACGCAAGGTCATACTTTGGCTCTCGTGGATTTGTTCTAATTTTCTTCAACTTCAGCTTGAACTTGCATATGAGTAATTCATGGTCTGTTCCACAGTCGGCTGATTGTTCTGACTGATGATACTGAGCTTTTCCATCATCTCTTTCCATAGATGTAGTCGATTTGATTCCTGTGTATTACATCTGGCTATGTCCACGTGTAGAGTCACCGTTTATGTTGTTGAAAAAAGATATTTGCAATGAAGAAGTCATTGGCCTTGCAAAATGCTATCACCAAGGCCAAACTGTCCAACTACCAATCCCTATTCGTTTCCAACTTTCACATTTCAATCACCAGTAATTATCAATGCACCTTGACTGCATGTTCGATCAATTTCAGACTGCAGAAGTTGGTAAAAATCTTCAATTTCTTCACCTTTGGCCTTAGTGGTTGGTGCATAAATTTGAACAATAATCGTATTACCTGGTCTTCCTAGTAGAGGTATGGATATTATCCTATCACTGACAGTGATGTACTTCAGAATAAATCTTGAAACGTTCTTTTTGACAATGAACACGATGCCATTCCTCTTCAATTTGTCATTCCCAGCATAGTAGACTATATGACTGTCTGATTCAAAATGGCCAATACTGGTCCATTTCAGTTCACTAACATCTAGGATATCGATGTTTATGTGTTCCATTTCATTTTTGCTGACTTCCAATTTTCCTAGATTCATACTTCATACATTCCATGTTCTGATTATTAATGGATGTTTGCAGCTGTTTCTTCTCATTTGGAGTCATGCCGTATCAGCAAATGAAGGTCCCAAAAGCTTGACTCCATCCATATCATTGAGGTCGACTCTACTTTGAGGAGGCAGCTCTTCCCCAGTTGTCTTTTGAGTGCCTTCCAACCTAAGGGTTCCTCTTCTGACACTATATCAGACAATGTTCCACTGCTATCCATCAGGTTTTCACTGGCTAATTTTTTCAGAAGTAGACTGACGTGTCCTTCTTCTAGTCTGTCTTAGTCTGGAAGCTCGGATGAAACCTGTCCACCAAGGGTGACCCTGTTGGTATTTGAAATACCGGTGGCAAAGCTTCCAGTATCACAGAAACACGCAAGCCACCACAGTACGACAAACTGACAGACATGGCTGACAGGAGCCGCTGGTGGATTCCAACTGCTGACCTTTGGGTTAGCAGCTAAGATCTTAACTACCACACCACCAGGGATCGTTTTAACTGCTTAGGGGATTCTAATGTGTAGTCAGGATTGTATAGAACAAGATCTTTTGTCTGGCAATTTTTGGAAGAAGACCTCTAAGTCCAAGTCACTGTAAATAACTTAATATTTGAAAAGGTAAAATAATATGCATGTTTATTAGCCTGAAAAATAGTCTTACCTCTTCAGTATCTTGGCAAAGTCCACATTCATTATGAATAACTGAATCAGAGAGTTAAGGCAGCAGGTCTGTCCAATGTTATGTAAACCAACCAGGCCTATAGAGGGAAGAGAAAAAAAGTACTGAGGGCAAGTCCTAGCTAAGGGATTTGACAAAAATCAAATGTTTATTTAAAATCTACTAAAGATAACCTGGTGGTACCATGGTTAAAGCGATCGACTGCTAACCAAAAGGTCGGTGGTTCAAGAATCGCCAGTGGCTCCATGGGAGAAAGATGTGGCAGTCTGCTTCTGTAGGGACTTACAGCCTTGGAAACTCTATGGGGCAGTTCTACTCTGTCCTATGGGGTTGCTGTGAGTTGGAATCGACTTGACAGCCGTGGGTTTAAAGATACGAAATTCTATAACGTACGATCAGAAGACAAAGGCGGAAACCTTTGAAAAGTTAAACAGTAAAGGTCTTTATAGTCCATTAGGAAAAAAGAGATGTCACAAGAAAGTACATTATTCATTGCTAAATGAGTAGTTCAAGCAACTGTATTAAGAGCAAAGAGAAAGAAACATTACAGAAAGCATAAGTGGAAGAATTATCGGTTCATCCCATTCAAATTGTTCCCTACAGGGTTGAGTCTAAATGGGCATCTCTGGGGCTCAGGGATAAGACCAGGCTAGTCTACAACTACATCTGCCCCAGCTCAGTCTCACCACATAACTCCCTGCCACTGAGTCAATTCCAATTCATGGCAGAGTAGAACTATACTCCACAGGGTTTTCAATGGCTTACTTTTTGTAAGTAAATCACCAGGCCTTTCTTCCAAGGTGCCTCTGGGTGAATTCAAACTGCCAAGCTTTTGGTTAGCACCTAAGCACCTAACTGTTTTCATCACGTAGGGACTTCACATAGATGGAGGAAATCAGGAGAAAGTTTCAGGGAAGATCCAGCTAATCTAAACTCACCCCTTGAGGCTGGAAGCCAGTAGGGACTTACGAGGGTATGAGAAAACCAAAATATAACATTTCTCTGACCCACTATCAACCAACCTCCTCTTTTCCTACCCAGCCTTGAGCTCAGCAGACCCTACAGGGTGAGCAACTTAAGAGAGAGGGAATACCACTAATCTCAGTGGTGTGAGAAGGGCAGTAAGAATGGAAAAATCCTAGAGAGCAGGGGATCACAGATTTCTACTCCTCAGTCAGCAGAAGCACCTTGCTTATAGACAGACTCGTGCACAGGTATAATAGTAAAGACAGGAGCTAATGCTTGGTGCTACTATCTGGCTTAAGGTAGTTTCCAGATTATCTCATTTAATTTTCTCAATAACCCCATGTGCTAGGTACTAGTATTATCCCCATTTTACAGATTCAGAAATGGAGGCACAAAAGATTAAAAGCCATTAACCACAAAGCTATACTGCTTCAGAGTACAGTGGGTGAGCAAAGCAGTCAAAACGAGAAAAATGTGGAGGATGTAATAACCATGAGGACGGTCCCAGGCACTGAAGTGTTCTTTTAGCTGCTCCCTCTCCCTCTTCATGTTGCTGTCCTCTTCTTTCTTCTGAACAGGTTCTGCTGGGAATGGCTGAGATGAAGCCAGGACTGACCGGCAGCTTGTACTCAGGAGCCCAAACACTTTGTCCATTAGTGATCACTCCAAAATCCCCAGGCCACCAGCTGCCTGGCCCATCTGCAGCACTGCATGACCCCTCGGGGAGAGCTCACCTCAGCCAGGGGTCCTGTGACCTCTGTGAAAACAAACCACAAGTAGTTAAGGATAAGAGAATAGAGGAAGCATATTCATGCGATCAGTTCTGATTCCAAACAGCCAAGTCTTCGAGCGAGGTGAATGTTCCAAGAGAATGGCTTATAAAGCTCTAGGGCCGGAAATTACCACTAATTACTAGTCACCGCTACCCTTCGTCCCACACTGTTCCATTTGATCTTCTCTCTCCAGCCACAACCTCAGAGTGGACTGTCATATCCTCAAACTGAACTAATCCTCTTTCTCCCAGATTCTCCACCCTGGTAAATGGCACAACATTCACCAAGGGGCCCAGACCAGAAACCTGGGCGTCTCTTTGCTCCTCCCTCCCGTGCCCAACAATCAGCAAGAGTTGTCAATTCTACTGCCTAAGGCTTCTCACAGGCACCCTCCATACTACTCTTCTGCCACACCTTTGACTTCCTGGGACATTCCTACAGACCTCCAGGTCCCAGTAAAATGTCCCCTCCTCTGAGAACCATGTCTTGGTTTGGGTGTTGTCTATGCTGCCACTGTACTTTATACACAGCTATTCAAATAACGGGCTCCAATATATACGCACACACACGTATATACACACACATGTATTTATATACATATATATATATACACCAAACGGGTTTGGTTTTTTGGTTTCTATATCTATTTTATACACACACACACACACACGTATTTGTATACATATACATATACCAAACCTGTTGCCTTCAAGTCGATTCCGACTCGGCGACCCTGTAGGACAGAGTAGAACTGCACCATAGGGTTTCCAAGGAGTGGTTGGTGGAATCAAACTGCTGACCTTTTGGTCAGCAGCTGAACACTTAACCACTGCTCCACCAGGGCTCCATATATATACACACACACATATATATATATATGCATAAGTATATATACACACGTATGTATATATACATATTTATATATACATACATATATATGTATATACATAAATACCTAAACAAAGGAGCCCTGGTGGCACAGTGGTTAAGTGTTGAGCTGCTAATGTAAAGGTCGGCAGTCTGAACCCACCAGCAGCTCAGACTGTAAACAGTTTTGATTCACCTAGGACTTTGTCACTACCCTTCGGAGATATTCTCAGAAATATAATTACCATGTTAAAGTGTACGAACTTTAAGGTTCTTGGTTAAAAAAAAAAAGTTGGCATCGAGTTGACTACGACTCAGGGTGACTTCATGTGTGTCAGAGTAAAACTGTGCTCCACAGAGTTTCCAATGGCTAACTTTTTCAAAGTGGATTGCCAGGCCTTTCTCCCAGGTGCAGAGATCTGGGTGGACTTAAACCTCCAATGTTTCACATATGTTCCTAAATGCCTTGCACCAGTTTATATATACTCTGAGCAGTGGGGTGGGAGAGGCTGTCAGGACTCAGTGATCAAGTGAAGGAAGTTTGTTGATGTTTACCAGGACAGGTCTCATAGAAAAGGTGAGTCTAGAACTGAGTTTATTAAAGAGACGAAGGGCATTTTGAAATAAGGGGACATCTTGAAGTGAGGCAGGCGATACGCAAAAGATCAGTAGTTGGGGAGAAGAATGTAGGGAAGTGTGTGCAAAGGACTGTAAGCAGATTTGCATAAAAACCAAAACCAAACCCGCTGCCTGCTGTCGAGTCGATTTTGACTCATAGTGACCCTATAGGACAGAGTAGAACTGCCCCACAGGGTTTCCAAGGAGCGGCTGGCGGATTCGAACTGCCGACCTTTAGGATAGCAGCCAAGCTCTTAACCACTATGTCACCAGGGCTCCACCACATATAAAAATGCCCATTATTTTAAAGAGCTTTTTCTTTCTCCAGTTAACAATAAATAATATTTAAAGGAGATTTTTTGTTGTTGTCAACTGCCAAAAAAATTAAACTATCCCTTCTTTTCAAATTCAACAGCTATATCACTATCTATAGTGCCCCTCCCAAAAAAGGAAAGTGCGACAATAAGGGATAAGCAAGTTAAGACACACTCATAAAATGGAATACTATGATGACATCGAAATCATTTTAGACTATTTAATAAAAATAGGGAAAATGATTATGATACATCATTGAATAAAAAAAGGAATTCTCAAGCATTTATATGGTATGAACCCCATTCTGTAAAACAATAAATATAACTACACACGCACACAAACAGAGATAAATTACTGGGAGGAAATATACCAAAAATGTTATTAAATTCTAACTCCCAGTGGTATGATTACAGATCATTTTTACCTTTTTTTTTTTTTTTTTGCTATTTCTCTTAATTTCCAAATTTCCAGTGATCAATATGTAATTTAAAAATAAGCAATAATTCGTTTGAAGGGTAGATGTAGTATATTTTAAGGAAATCTTTTTTGGCAATAGCATTCCTATTCCAAGACCCTCAGAAAAATTTAATGAATTAGAGATGAGAAGTGGTAGAATTTTTTTCTTTTTTTCTTAATTATTTCGCAAAACGTGGAGGAAAGGAACACATCTGAAGTTGGGAAACAGTTAAGGATAGGTATCATATATCACGTTAAATGGTAACATAACAAGTAATCTCTTCTTTTTCCCTGGTAAATACTTATTTTCAATGGTTATAAACAGCTTTACCTCAATGGTTATAAATAGTTTTGGATTCAAACGGCCCATGTTTTGGTTAGCAGCCAAGCTCTTAACTACCGTGCCACCAGGGCTCCCTTACAAGACAGCCTAGCAGAATTAAGTTGAAAGAGGAACAATGGCAGAAGGCAATTTCATCAGCAAGAAGTAGGATGTTGAGACCATCACTGAGGGAAATCTGATGAACCAGAATGGACCAGCCTGCATCATCCAGAGACACTGCCTTGCCCTCTGCCAAGATCTCACAAATACTTCATTCAGCAAAATATGGCAGGAAAACTCAGTGTATCACCTGGGCAGGCTGGCTGGGCAGGTCCAAAATGACAAGAGCAAAACCCAGCAACCTTCAAGACTGATCACAGAGGGAGGAAAGGTAGGTGGGACAATGAAGGAAAGGAAAAGTGAAACTTAGAGATCTGAAAGGGGTGGGGAAAGGCCAAATGGGCAGAGGATGTAGTTAAGCTAAGCAGGTGGCAACAAGCTCCCACCAGAGAAGAGGATGCATATATTCCAAGGAAGCTGAATTTCCAAACCCAGCCCGACTCAAAAAGTGGCCCCAAAATACTAAACTGACTTAGCTCCCACCCTTCCTGAATTTTTTACCCTGAAAACCAGGGGGAGACGTGAATGATGGAAGCAGCTGGGGCAGGCCAACTACCGTTGTAGCTACAGAATCACTCGTCACAGCAAACAAACAAGGGACATGATGCAGGAAAACCGAGGAGGTCCCAGTCTCTAACTGGACTCTTCATTCACAGCTAGACTTGCTGCGGGAAAACCAGCTCTGACTTTAATTGCCCGAAGAGGAACAAAAGTAACATACCAGGAACATGATTTAAGCAGCCTCACCGTCTTCCAAACCCAACCCCCATCATGTAAACAATAAATTCAGACATCACTCTTAGTCATGTGTTCACATTTGAGTAATGGTGATACGCTGGGCACACAGATTAGAACATTCCAGATGAAACTCAAAGTAATAGGGAATCCTGAAGCTACAGCCCGTTTGGAAGAGATTAGGACTTACCTTCTTTAAGATTGTTTATGTTAAACATTTTCCTCTTTGAAGCCCATCATTGTGTAAAAGTGCAAAACTGTGCAACATATTTTCTAACAGTGAAAAAAAAACAAAAACAAACATGCTGCTTTTTTAAAATTTATTCTTTGATACCAGTTGCTACGGAGTCGGTTCTAACTCATGGCAAGCCTATGTGTGTCAGAGCAGAACTGTACTCCATAGGGTTTTCAATGGCTGATTTTTCTGAAGTAGATTACCAGGCCTTTCTTCAAGGGACTTCTTGGTAGACTCGAACTTGCAACCTTTCAGTTAGCAGCCAACTGCAAATGGTTATTTGCACTACCCAGGGACTCCTTATTCTTTGATAACCAAACCCACTGCCATCAACCGTATTCCGGCTCATAGCGACCCTATAGGACAGAGCAGAACTGCCCCAGAGAGTTTCCAAGGAGCAGCTGGTGGATTCGAACTGCCGACCTTTTGGTTAGCAGACGTAGCTCTTAACCACTACACCACCAGGGTTTCCATTCTTTGATAGTGTTCCGTCAGTCAGGACGGAGATGCAGACCCTGTGTTAATCTCCTAGTCGTTCTGATCCTATGAACACATTAGCTTATCAGAAAGGTGCCCAGTTCTCACTCACCATCAGAGATCCGTCTGTTACACATATGCCTGCCTGTTTCCCTCACTACATTAACATTTTATTATGACATTATAAATAAAGGGGTTGAACTTTTCATTTGTAATATTTTAATTATTACATAAGGAATACTTGTTTCAATTTTAGTATTGCCTCTGACAATCTCCTTAAATTGTGTCCTACTCAAATAGTTGAGAAGAAATTCTGGGAAAAAAAGTTAAATATCTGATACCACAATCTGGTTTTATTTTGTATTTACTGTTATCATTATTCATTCTGACCATTATTTCGTATCCAGTTACTTTGGAGTGATTAGAAAACATACATAATCTGCTTGTTTTTCAACAATTAAAAGTCAGCCGGGGTTGGGTTGGAGAGTTAGGTGAGGGCCAGACATTGCAAGGCTTGAGGCCATAGTACAGATTTGTGATTCTGTGCTAAAAGCAGTGGGAGACCACTGAAGGTTCTTGAGCAGAGACAGGACACAATCAGGTGTGCTTTTAAAAAAAGACCACAGTGGCTCTGGAATTTGGAAACTGGATTCACTATTGACTGAGGAGTTAGAGTATTATCTCAAACCAAAATCAAAGTGATCAAAGTTGAAGTGCAATTGTTAATTTGGTAACCTGACAATAGATACTATTTGTGTCTCTGTGGTTATTTTACCTATACAGAGAATGAAAGGCCGACCAGATGGACTGGCTGGGAAGGCTGACTAGGAGTGTTTCTCAAGGACCCTCTATGGAGAGTGATTGTGATTCTTGGGTGGATTTGGGATTTCCATTCATAGATGAGATGCTCCCAATTAAACCTTTGTCACCTGTCTTCCCGCCAAAAGTCTCCACTCCACAGTGACTGGAAAATTAGGCAGGAAGAAAAGAAAAATTTAAAAAGTCAGCCCAGAACTACTGAACATATCAAATTAAAAACAAATGTAATTACTTATAGGTCCAGGTAAGGAGCCCTGGTGGTGCAGTGGTTAAAGCCCTCGACTGCTAACCGAAAGGTTGGCGGTTGGAATCCACCAGCTATACCACAGAAGAAAGATGTAGCTGTCTGCTTCCAGAAAGATTTACAGCCTTGGAAAGCATATGGGGCAGTTCTCCTCTCTCCTACAGGGTTGCTATGACTAAGAATCAACTCAATGGCAATAGGTTTTTTGATTTATAAGTCCAGGTGACACACTGAATTACAGTGGATAAGTTACTCAAATAATTCAGTCATTAAAAACTACTTTTCCCCAGAAATGGAAGCAAAAGTGGGAAAAAAGGAAGGATATTTGAATTACCTAGATGACTGATTTAATCCTCGGCTTCACTCTGTATAATACAACAACAAAAAGAAAACATCACATGAATTTTTTAAAATGTTTTAAAATATTTGCCTCATTTTCTTGCATGATTGCAAAGTATAGCTATCTCAATGCTGTTAAGTACGAAGTTAAAGCCTTTGCTTTATTAGTAAATGCTTTGAACCCTAGATTTTTACGGGTCATAGAATGAAGTCGTATGTTTGTTTCAAGGTCTAAATTTGGCTCTTTTTCAGAAAAAAAAATTGGAAGGAGGAGAGGAATTAAGGCTAAATTACTCTGATTTGCACAATTTGACAGAATCGTTCGAATTTCTCAATATGTATACCCATTAACTCAGTAATTCCACTTCTAGGACTCTCCCACAAATAAATGTGTATATTTCCGTGGATGTGTACATAAAATGATATTCACTGTTGCATCATTTATACCAGTAAAAACTGGAACAACCTAAATATCCACGAACCATTTAATAGATGATGTGCTTCCCATATTATATAACAGTTTTAAAAAAAAATGAGGTTGGCCTTTCTACATGTCCTGCCATGAAAAGACGCCCATAATATACTGTTAAGTGGAAAAAGCAAATTACAAAGCAATACTACAGAATGATCTCACTTTGGTTTTTAAAGACTTGGGCATAGAAAAATACCTGGAAAAGTACACATACATGATACTGAGTCGAAGATTGAAAGTTTTGTTCTACTTTATACTTTTGTCTGCAGTGTTGGAATTTTTTTACAAGGGCACAACACTTCTGTAATTTTTTTTAGTTAAACACAAAGTTATGTAAAAAGTCCAAGTAAATATATCAGTCTGGGGGAAAAAATACATAGGTTCAATACGTCCACGTAATGAATAGAGACTGTTATTATAACAGAGCCCAGATACATTCCTTAATCACCCAGGTGGCATACGAACAGAGCCCTGCTGGATGTCTTTTCTGGAAAGAAAGCTTCCAAAATTACCATGAAACTTGCCTCAAGTGCCACGAAAACGTCAAGCCTCCACTGTCCAACTCGATGCTCGGAACGCCGAAGAGGCTTCTCCTTGCCAGGTCCCCTTCGAGCTCTGGCGGAGGAGGATCCAGCAGGGTGAAGAGCGCAGAGCTCAGCTACCTGCCGGGAACAGACCTCGCGCAGCCGTCCGCTCTCGTCCCAGTCTGCCTGTCTTCTGCCAGCGCCTCGCCGTGCGCCCCATTCTGCCTCCGCCCGCGCCCCGCCCCGTCGCCCGCAGCTCCTCGGCTTTCGTTTCCCACCGAACGGAAAGCGAAACTCAGCGAGAGGCTGGTCCCGCGGGGCCGAGCTTTGGCGGGAAGGCGGAGGCGAGGCTGGGGTTGTAGGTAAATCCCAGCGACGCAGTGCGGAGCCGCCGCGGACAAGTCATCGGTGCGGATCTGGTGCATCTGTGTTGTGGGTTTTAGCATTTAAAGATGTGTTCTATGTTTTGAATACGTGCCGTTTGTCGACAATTCCAAGAATACATGCTTCTTCTTACACCATTGTAAGATCTCTGCAATTAGGATGCATCTTACAATCGTTTGGCGTTTCATAGGATAAATGGCAGCGTATTTTTCTCTCTTAATGCTATAATTTCTTAAATAGTGTATCTTAAAACCGGTGGCTTGTAGAATCAATGAAATATGGCATGTATGTATAAAGTCGTTATCCTGTTACTCTGTTGCTCTGCAGGAGCCCACAGAGGCGGGTCCACGTGGTGAGTGGTAGAGCAAAAGGGAAAAAAAGTGGAGGTTGGATTGAAAATTGGAGCTCTTCTTGTGGAGTCATGATTCTCAATAGGTATAGAGAGAGAAATAAATACAGAGGTAAACGTGTAACTTACGAAAAGGTCTAACAGACGTAATATTCACTGGCTACTTGTGATATGCCAGGCTCTCTACTGAGCGCTAAACCTAACAATCTACACAACAGCCTCTTGATGTAGGCCCTATTTTTATCCCTATTTTATAGGAAAGAAACAAACAAACCCGTTGCCGTCGAGTCGATTCCAACTCATAGCGACCCTATAGGAAGAGTAGAACTGCCCCCGTAAAGTGTCCAAGGAACGGCTGGTGGATTTGAACTGTGACCTTTTGGTTAGCAGCCGTAGCTCTTAATCACTGTGCCACCAGGGTTTCCATTTTATAGGAAGGAATATTAAATTTCAAGAGGTTAAGTGACTTGCCCAAGGTAGTACAAGATTGTAAATGGTGGAGCCAAGATTCCAAAGGGGGTTTGACTCCCGAACCACTGTTTCCACCTCTAATTTCACTCGTTTAATAGAAAATAAGAGATCAGCGTCATTAGGAGCTCACCAGATGGGCATGCAGATGTATGTAAGGTTAAAGCATGCACACATGAAATGCTTGTTACCTCTTTAGAGATGTAGTTGAAGCATGTAGACTCTAGGGGTAGGGGTAGCAGGGTTATCTGCCAGCACCTCTATCTCGCTCAAGAGGGACTCCAGTTCTGGCTGCTGGACAGTGGTAAATTTGTGCAGGAAAGTGGAGTGACATTTTGTCACCAGTGCTCATCCTTTCTGAAATCCATCCACCCAGCACAGGCCAAATGTGAGAGGACAGCTCCAGGGGTGAGAAGCCTCAGAAACCCAAAACTGCCAGAACCTCACTGAGGTGTACGCAGGGTCTGCAGAAAAGTACGTAATCTGTTCAAAATATAATGACATAGAGATATACAAATGTGTCCATAATGTGTGTGGCCGCTTGTGTGCTAAAAACATGCACACAAGCACATACATACATACTGTACACATACATCCATGTGTGTGAATGTGTGTATACCCTGTCACATAAACTACAGCTTTCCCTTCCTTGCAATCTGAAGAGAAGGCAGTATAGTGCGCAGCACGGTGCAGAGCACAGCATATCCTCTCTGGAACGTTGGTTGGGGGTATACAGCATGGTGTTTACACAGTTCACATGATGTACACAGAGTAGGTCCTTGTTATGGATTGAACTGTGTCCCCAAAAATGTGTTGTAATCCTAACCTCTATGCCTGTAGTTATAATCCCATTTGGGAATGGGTTGTCGTTGTTATGTTAATGAGACAGGATTAGTGTAGGATATGTCTTGAGTCAATCTCTTTTGAGATATAAAAAAGATTAAACAAGCAAGTGAGAGAAACAGATGGGGGAAGAGAGATGCCTGGCCACGTGAAGATTGCCCAGGAGCAGAAGCTCAGAAGAGACGAGGGCCTTCCTATAGAGAGAAAGCCTTCCCCTAGAACTGGCACCCTGAATTCCTAAACTGTGAGAAAATAATTTTTTGTTTGTTAAAGCCACCCACTTGTGGTATTTCTGTTATAGCAGCACTAGATAACTAAGACAATCCTCAGTATATTTGCTGACCAATGAATTACTTTAACCAATTTAATATATTTGTTAAGCCTTGTTGATAAAACAGAAAAACAAACCCATTGCCATCGAGTCGATTCCAACTTATAGTGACCTTATAGGTCAGAGTAGAACTGCCCCATAGTGTTTCCAAGGCTGTAAATCTTTACGGAAGCCAACTGCCACATCTCTCTCCCATGGAGCAACTGGTTGGTTCCAACCTTTCAGTTAGCAGCCAAGTGCTTAATGACTGTGCCAGCAGGAACTTGTGAAACTCAGGTCCAGGGAATGGGGAGAGGATGCTGCAAAATTTGAAACAGTTTACTAAATACTTCAAGTCAGTAGAATTCTAAGGAATAAGTTATATTTGCCGTCATTGTTTATTGTTGTCAGTTGCTGTCCAGTCAGCTCCAAATGGTGACATTGTATATAACAGAACTAAGCATTGCCTGGTCCTGAGCCATCTTAATGATCGTTGGTATGTTTGAGCCCACTGTTGCAGCTATTATATCAATCCATCCCATTGAGGGTTTCCCTTGTATTCTCTGACACTCTACTTTATCAAACATGATGTCCTTCAGTGATTACTAGCATATGACTGTTTCTAATGAGTCAGTTCATTCTATTTGAATTTTGGTAGTACAGTGGAGAAAATTAATTGGCATTGCTGTCCCATTACAAAATGGGCACAGGTCAACCTTGGGCTTTAGCCTGGACCACATAATGTGAGGGTCCATTGCAATTATTATGGGGGCACTTCCTCTTCCCCTTCCCTTTGCTTACCTTACAGAACAGTTCAGTGCTAAAGCCATTTATTGGGTCAAGCAAAGTAAATGTCCACACAATAGGGTTCCCCAGTGGCCCAGAGCAGGGTATTAGAGTCCAAGCAAAGTAAGAAGTGCATCTATATGGAAGGGCTGCCTGAGCAAGGGGATTGGGCCGCAGACAGGTTAAAGAGGGTGTCCACACATGGTGGTAGTGGCGGGTAGTCAAAATCAAAGCTTTATGAGGGGTTAAAAAGGTGTCCACACAAGAAGGCAGCCCAGCATGGGGTATTGGAGCCTGAGCAGGGTAAGAAGAACATCCACGCGAGGGCTGACGGGCCAGAAGTCTGTGCAGGGTGTCAGAGCCCAAGCAGCGTGAGGAGGGCATCCAAGTAGGAGGGCTGCCTAGCATTGAGTAGCAGAACCTAAATGAGATAAGGAGAGTAAAAGTGTAAGGAGCAGACTGTCCTGGGGTGTCAGAGCCCAAGTGGTTTGAGGAGGGCTTCTGTGTGGCAGGGTGGTGCAGTGTCTGGTGTGGTGCATAGGCAGGGTGAGGAGGACATCCATGCAGGAGAGGGGGCATGGAGATGAGAGATTGGTCACATTCAGAGGGATTGATCAAATAAGCAAATATAGTAAGGATAATTGGAGCTAGGTTTATCACTGTCAGGGAAGGGATTTCCAAATATGGAGAGGGAAAATGAGCCCTGTGGTGTTGGGTTGAAAATTGGAGCTGTTTGTGTGGATCCATGATTTTCAGTAGGCATAAATAGAGATAAAGAAGTAAATACAGAGGTAAGTGTGTATATACATACATATATTCCCTAGCTCTGTTCACTGAGAGGCCCTGGGAGAAGTGACATCCCAATACCAATGAGCACATCTAATACCCAGATCTTAGCTTCTAATTACCATTCTCTAGTAAAAGCAAAAGAATTCCTGGGTAGCACAAATGGTTAAGTGCTCAACTACTGGCCAAAAAGTTGGCGGTTTGAATCCACCAAGAAGCACCTTGGGAGACAGACCTGGCGATCTGCTTCCGGAAGATCACAGCCTTGAAAACCCTATGGGGCAGTTCTGCTCTGCACATGTGGGGTTGCCATGAGTTGGAGTCGACGGCAATTAACAACAGTAAAAGGAGCCAGAGTTGCTTAGAGAAATGGCTGTTTCCAAGGTTAGGAAAGGGAAAGTGCAAGATGAGCCTAAGACATCTTGTTCTTCCAGAAAATAAGGAAATGCTCAAAGAATGATAAAGGTGTGTCAAAAATACACAAAAGCCAGCTTGAAGGGGCTCCCACTGGCCAAATCCGGAACTATTCAAGCATCAAAATAAATAATGATATTAAGAGTTTATAACCTATTAAATAAATTGGGAAAACATAGTCCATAACAATAAAAATAATTGAATAAATTGAAAGTTTGAGGAGGAATAGAATATTTGCAGTTTCAAAGTACTTTCCTACAAAATACATGTAATTACGAAGGGGAGACAAGCACCTTCACAGTGGCAGACACCACCTTAATCAAGTGATCAAAGGGGCCATTGTCAGTGATGATACCAGTCAAAATTTTGTGCTCCCTGACAGGACACAATGAAAAGAACACAGCATAACTTCTGTGATATTCCTGTCAAAGAGGCATAACCTGAGTCCAGTCGTGAGGAAACATCTGAGCAACTCAGATTGAGGAACAGTCTACAAAATAGCTGGTCTGTAATGTTCAAAAGTGTCAAGGTCATGAAAGTCAAAGAAAGGGTAAGGAATTGTTCCAGACTGATGGAAATCAAATAGATGATAACAACCAAATGCAACAGTAGATTCCGAACTGGATTCTTTTGCGATAAACGAAAATATTGGGACAATTAGTGAAACTTAAACGGGGTGTGAAGATTAGATGGTAGTAATTTAACACTGAAAGTACCAGAGGGTAATGACATGTTGGAAACTTACTCTCAAATCAGTCAATAAAAAAGTTTTTGTACTGTACTTGCAACTTTTCTGCAAGTTTGATAGTTTCACATTTCTTTAATGTAAGAAAATATTATGGATGGCTTTTTTCTGGAGACCATTTACAAAAGTATACTCTTTGAACACATTGGTTTAAAGATTTTTCAACACCATGCAGCAAAGCATTTAAATTGAAACTGCATAAACCTTGTTTCAAAACAAAGTTTGGGCCCTGAGAAGTATTTTCTGCAGCTTGCACAGTATTTCTGTCTGTTTGGGATAGTTTCAGTGTCACTCAAATTCTCTTGGCTGAATTTCTTATTCTTTTTTTTTTTCTAAAAAAAAAAAGTGCAGAGCAAGAAGGCACACCTGACTGCCCTCTTGAAAATTCTGCCTAAAAACTCAGTCACAAAGATGCCTGGCTGACTTGATGAAATTAATCTAGTTCTCCTTCACCATGAAAAGCTACTTTAGGAAAAAGCTGTTTGTGCCAGGTGAGGAACAATTTATAAAAACTGATGTTAATTTTTGTCCAGGGGAAAGGACAGGTTTTGTTGCATGGGGTAAGGGCAAGAACAAAAAGAATTATTAATAAAATATTTGTACTTATTTACAAAGCTCATTTCTCTACCAACACGTGGCTTCATGTGATCTGTCTGTTCAGTCCTTCTCCACAAGTCTCTCTCTCCTGCCTATTTTCCTTTCTGCATTTTGTCAAGTTTTTTTTTTCAATTCTACTATATTTTTGCATACTGCCAAAAGTAAACAATAAATTTGCTTTTAAGGTGTGTAGATTGAACTGCCATTGCGGTATTCTTTTCGGTCGATACATTCTCCTAAGAAGGAGACAGTGGTGATAAGTTGAAGTGGCAAAAAGAACTTTTAAGTTTCCTTTTCCTGGCGTTGGTTTCAGGACAGAACTAAAATAGGCTGTGACTTGGCATCTGTTACCTTTCTCAGTCATTTTCTGTCTTCTGGCAATTTGTTGCCATAAAGAAGGACCTTTTTTTAATTTTTATTGATTTTTTTATTTTGGAAAATAAACTTTAAACATAAAAGAAAAGTTCAAAATATCTTACAATGACCTCATATACTCTTCAGTCATTATTAACATTTTGGCACAACTGTGACAAAAATTTTTGGTTTATTGCTTTTCTCTCTCTCATACACATGCAGATGTGCACACACACACATCCCTACCTGTATGTATGTATATAAAATAACCTTTTTTTTTTTTTTTTTGCTGGACTCTCTGAGAGTAAATTGTAGAGATCAAGATTCTGCAGCCCTAAAATATTCTATGTGTATCTCAGTACTATTGCCAAATTCAGGAAATTTAATATTAATACAGATATCATTGTCTTAAAATTTTCTTCTACATACTTTGAGAACCACACAGACAATGTACATAGAGTTCCCACAACCAGCTTCTCCCACTATAGCATCTTACATTAGTATGGTACGTTTGTCACAACAATTCATGAACCAGTACTGATACATTATTATTAACTAAAGTCTATACTTTATTCAGATTTCCTTAGTCAATACCTAATGTCCTTTTTCCATTCCAGGATCCCATCCAGGACACCACCTTACAGTTAGTCTTCATGTTTTCTTAGGCTCCTCTTGGCTGTGACAGTTTCTCAAACTTTCCCTGACAGTTTTGTGGAGTACTGGTCAGGTATTTTGTAGAGTGTCTGGGATTTGTCTGATGTTTTTCTTGTGATTACTGGAGCTATGCATTTTTGAGAGGAAGACCATAGAGGTAAAGGTGGTATTCTCATCACATCATAACAAGCATGCACACTATCAGGACTTACTGTTAATTTTTGGATCACATGGCTAAGCTAGTGTTTTTCGAGTTTCTGCACCGTAAAGCTTCTCTTTTCTCCTCTTACCATACTTATACTCTTTGGAAGAAGGTAACTATGCACAGCCCACATTAAAGGAATGGGAAGTTATGCTTCACCTCCTTGAGTTGAGGGTAAAGTAGTTACATAAATTATTTGGAATTCTGCAGGGGAGATTTGTCTGTTCTCCCCAATTTATCTACTCAATCAATCATTTATTTATATCAATGTGAACTCATGGATATTTATATTATACTTTGGGTTTAATCTAATACTGTTATATTTATTTTGTTGCTCAGTTTGTCCCAGCTTTGGCCATTGGGAGCTCTTTCAGTTGGCTCCTGTCCCTTTTACATATCCCTATCATTGTTGGGTTTTTGAAGCACTTCATTACTTTCTGGATCCAGTGAGGTTATTTTCTAAAATTTCCACTTAGTTTTTCTTTATATCTTTTCTTTGCTGAGGCTTTCTATTTTTAAAATTCATTTCAAGCACGTTTGCAATGTAGAGGCATTTTTGTGAGACTGCTTAAAATACTCATCATATAATTCTAGTATGTTTCATTTTGGTGTTGGTCCTACATTTATTAGTTGGCGTTCTACTAAAAAGAAGAGCTTTTCCTTCTGCTTTGATCTTTTTGTTTCTTAATGTCACCATGGACTCAAGGATTCTTTTTTTACTCAATGTGTTTTAACCACTTACTCTCATTATGAATTTTGATGCTCAAGTTGGCCAGTAGGAGCTCCGTTCTTACGGGACATGTTCCCCACCATTTTTTGCGCACAGACTTCCCCTTCTGACACAAAGTGTTTCAAATTCTTCCTGTAGCTTTCCTGCTTCAGCCCTGAAACTGTCCATTTTTCCAAGGAGTCATGGTTCCTTTTAGAGGAGAATGGTTTTTAGAAACCAAGAACTAGGACCTAGGTATTCTCATTACTACCAAGGTGTCATTGTTTCTAGTTCATTTCAATGGACAGAGCTGAGAAATAGATTCTTATTTAAGAAAAAAAATGCATTCATACTGATACTTCCAATTCCAATACTACAGGGTTATTCCTTGCTTTATTCCATTCCACAATTATAGATCCATTCTTCCACAGTGAGCACCTAGCTTAATCTGACAATACACATACAAACACTCTCTTCAGAATAGCTACACCCATACTACCAACAGCAAACCTACTAAATAAAGTTCAAGATTTCTTTGTGATTCCTTTTGTAAAAGAACTGTGTTCGAAATTACTTCAGATTCTTTCCCTGTATGTGGTTATGCTACCCATTTTATATACAATTTATTTGTGTGTGATGTGATTTCACGGTTTTTACCCCCTGATCTTTGGTTTTTTAGTTTTGTTTTTGCATATTTTTGAATATGTCAAACATTAACATGATTCCATAAGTCAAACCAGAAAAACTAAACTCGTTGCATTCGAGTAAATTCCAACTCATACCAACCCATTAGGACAGAGTAGAACTTCCCCATAGGGTTTTCAAGGCTGTAAATCTTTGGGGAAGCAGACTGCCACATCTTTCTCCCATGGAGCGGCTGGTGGGTTCGAACCACTGACCTTCCAGTTAGCAGTTGAGCACTTAACCACTAGAGCTCCTCCATAAGTCAAAACTATACGAAAAGGTGTATAGTTTGCTTGTTACTTACCTTGTTACTGCTGATCAGGGATGAGAGCTCAGTTTCCCCACTAGGTCTCCACTGACACTGTGGGGGAAGAGCGGCTTATTTCCACTAAGTCTCTACCAAAGCCAAGCTCGTCCTTGCAGACACCTATGGAACCTGGTGCAGGAATGAGGTCACAATGGACAGCAGGTCTGGGCATTTCCTTTTTAACATCATGATCTCCTTCAAAGAGGAGCACAAGAGTGTGATCTCCCAGAAAACAATACTCTCGAAGAGCTCGACATCACTTCTTGCCTAATTTTCCATTTTATTCTATTATTCTCAGGGCTTCCAAGGAATATAGAATAGAAACATTTAAGGAAAGCCAGCAGCTAAAAAGGTGTGTATTTCATGCATAGGGACCTACCAGGGGCCCACCCCTGTGTATCCTACTAGCAGTTTAAGAGCAGTCTTTTGGTTATTCCTAAAATCCTACCAAGCCACCAACTTCAGGTAATAGATGCACTAGCTCATCCTCCCCTTTGTAAATGATATAAAACTTTTACTTCTCCTCATTCTTCCTTTTATGAGGCAGCAGTTGGGACCTGGCACAAAAGCCAAGGGATATAAAAATAGTGTAGGGTAGACAAGAGAATAGAATTGGTAGGCCCTGCTATCTGAGCTCCACTTCTTACCATCTCCAGCACATAGATTCTCTATGCCTCAGTTTCTTCATCTATAAAATGAGCAGAATATTCATTTTGAGATTGTTGGGAAGATTCAAGATGAAGTATATAAAGCACCTAGCACAGTGTAGATAAAGCACCTAGCTCACAGTAGGTACCCTACTTAAAATCTTCCAGAAGCTCCTGTTCACTTAGAAAAAAGTCTAAACTCCTTACCATGGTCTATAAGGCTAGAAATGCTCTGGCCCCTTCCTAACTCTTGGGTCTCATCTCTTCGTCTCTCACCATCTAGCACACTGACCTCCTTTCTGTTCTTCAGACACTCCAGGCTTGTTCCTACATCTGTGGTTTTGCATTTGCTCTTCACTTTGCCCAGGATCCACTGACTCCAAAGCTTCACATGATGGCTTTTTCTTGCCTTTCAGGTCTCTGTGAGGCCTTCCCTGACCACCTCAGATACTTTCTCTCTTCATTGGTTTTTCCCTTCCTATCATTTACTATCTGAAATGATCTTCTTCACTGCATTTACAAGGGCAGAAAATTTGTCTTATTTATCACCAGGTCTCTAGCTCTTAGAACACTGCCTAGTACATAGTGTATATTCAAATAATTGATGAACGAATGAATGAACATGTGATAAGTCTGGATGGTGCCTGGGCCATGCTACAGATTCATTAATGTGAACTTCTGCTAACTCCCTGCCCACAATCTTGCCAATGCCCAGATCTTTCCTTTCCCAAAATGTTCTACCGTGCCCCAGTCAGCAGGCTGTGTTTGGTGTTGGACCCAGCAGAAGCAGGAATTAAAAATCCTGATTAGGCCTCCTCACAAGTATAACTTGTCTTCACTCTAATCCAGAGACAGTGACCCTCATTTTTTTCTTTTTTTGGTGGCACAAAGCTGCTATTACCCAAGGAAGGGTATGCCAGAGCTCAGCCTCCATTTTTGGCCCAGGCACTCCTTCTCTTATGTAAGACAGAAGTCAACCTGGGGTTGGGAGTATGGTCTGTTACTCTTGAAATAGTTGAATATACTTTTGACAGAAGCAGCAGAAATAAAGAGACACAGCCAAGGGGAACATGTATATTTAAAATTCCTCCCCTTCATTTTCTTCTTCAAATGAATCAGTCCCCACTTCTTCATAATCCTTCTCCAGGGCAGCCAGGTCCTCCCTGGCCTCAGAAAATTCTCCTTCTTCCATTCCCTCTCCAACGTACCAATGCACAAAGGCCCGCTTGGCATACATGAGGTCAAACTTGTGGTCCAGACGGGCCCAGGCCTCTGCAATCGCCGTGGTGTTGCTTAGCATGCAGACAGCCCGCTGGACTTTGGCCAGATCCCCTCCTGGCACCACTGTGGGTGGCTGGTAGTTGATGCCCACCTGAGGAACAGAAAAAGAGGAAGAACAACAGAGTAAGATGCAAGTCAGTGAAAGGATATCTGGGTGGCAGCTCCTGAAGACCAGGCATCTTGTCCTGGTGGTGTGGGACAAAACAGGTCATGAGTGTGGAATGGGACTATAGGACAGAAGGTGAAAAGTGGGAGTCAGGAGTTTGGGGGATCAGGCAGGCAAAGAGAAGTAAGTGTTGAAAGAAAAGTACAAGTCAGTGGGATTGGGTACAAGCAAATTCAAGGGGCAGGGCTGGAGAATTGAAAAGCTGGAGAAGAAAAAGAGGAGAATAGGACTGGAAATGGGTAGAAATGTTAGTGGAGTGCTTCAAGTAGACGAGTTAGGGTAATGAATGATATTAAGGGGGAGGTGTACAGTATATGTTTATGTCTAAAAGGGAAATTGATGCTATTACAGGCATATTAGTTCCTAGACTTGATACAGTTTATTCTTTCCCAGATGATCATTTGAAGTTCCTCTTAGCTATGCTGTCAATAAATTTAAGGAATTTTCTCTCCCAAGGGTGAAGGGTTATTTAAAAGGTCATGGGGTATTCCAAAGAAATAAATAAAATGATCCAATAGGTCCTGGGCATGATATTAGTGTTAACCAGGCCCTGTGTCTCTAAGCAATGCAGCTTTTTGGAAGAAAAAGACTCTTATTGAAAATTTGTTAAAGGTCTTGCTTGAACTGGCCTGCTTCCCAAGTTCTAGGAGCATAGCTGGGTCCCCCAGGCTAACCCCAGCCTAGTCCAACAGTGGAGCTCTATCCTAGAACTCTCTTTTCTACCCACAAACACATATCCCAAACACAAGCCAACCTCAGGAATGGTAGGATACCAGAAGTCGTCTAAGGTGACAAAGTGTGATATTATTTATGAGACACTGAGAACCATGGTGCTGCCCCAAAATACCTCTCCTACCCAAGCCACTACCTCTTAATTGCCAGTATCTTAAATTCATAGCTTTAAAATGCATGTTCTCTTGAATGGATGAGATTAGCAGCAGGCAGTAGAGCAAAGGCTCAGACAATAGAACCATCTTGGTAGAGGAGGTGATGCTGAAAAAGGGGCAAAGGGCTGAGAAGGAGAAGGGCAATGAATATAAACTTTGCCACATCACACATTTTGCTAGATTTGGCCCTGACTAGCATAAACCCTGTGCCTGGAGCCAACTTTCCTCTCGTCTGAACAGTAGCATCGTTTGACCTGAGTCAGGTGAGGACAAACATCCTAGGGGAGGATGCAAGAAGATGAAATTCAGCAACATCAACCCCCATGGCATGTGCTTTTCTGAAAGGCAGCCAAAGATGCTAGAAATACCTTATTTCTCTTTCTGGACATGACTCCAGAGCTTCAGCTTAAAATAAAAAAGAGAGAATGAGAAGATTTCTGCTTTTTGTCAGTTTCTACCATCACCTTCACATGTCTCTCATTTTTCTTTTTTTTCCTCCTATATATTCTCCTACTAGGTTATTTTGTTGTCTGTTTTCATTTGAAAAGAAAAAAAACTTCATTTTTTAAAAACCACCCTGACTATTTTTGCAAGAATGACCAGAAATGCTTCTCTAGTTGTCTATCTTTTCCTTAAGTCACCATCTCTCACCTTGAAGCCTGTGGGACACCAGTCTACAAACTGAATGGTCCTCTTGGTCTTGATGGCAGCAATAGCGACATTCACATCCTTGGGTACCACGTCCCCGCGGTAGAGCATGCAGCAGGCCATGTACTTGCCATGTCTTGGGTCACACTTCACCATCTGGCTGTTAGGCTCAAAGCAGGAGCTGGTTATCTCGGCCACAGAGAGCTGTTCATGATAGGCCTTCTCGGCAGAGATGATGGGTGCATAGGTGACCAGTGGGAAGTGGATGCGGGGGTAGGGCACCAGGTTGGTCTGGAACTCGGTGAGGTCCACATTGAGGGCCCCGTCAAAGCGGAGAGAGGCAGTAATAGAGGACACAATCTGGCTGATGAGGCGGTTGAGGTTGGTATAGGTAGGGCGCTCAATGTCTAGGTTCCTGCGGCAGATGTCATAGATGGCTTCATTGTCCACCATGAAAGCACAATCTGAATGTTCCAGTGTGGTGTGGGTGGTCAGTATGGAGTTGTAAGGCTCCACCACTGCAGTGGACACCTGTGGGGCCGGGTAGATAGCAAACTCTAGCTTGGACTTCTTGCCGTAATCCAGGGAGAGGCGTTCCATCAGCAGAGAAGTGAAGCCGGAGCCAGTGCCCCCACCAAAACTGTGGAAGATCAGGAAGCCCTGCAGGCCAGAGCAGGCATCTGTCTGGGGAAAGTAGGACATGAGAAGAAAACATGAAGACAAACATGTTTCCGGAAATAGCCTCACATGGACAAAGCCAAGCAACTCACTGTCTGTCCAACCCCATCCCTCAACATTTTTATGTGGGCAAAATCAACACAGCCGTGAAGGAATGAAGAAACAAAGAAGGAGTTGCACTGATCTTGGGAGGACTAGCTAAATATGGGGTAGATGTGACATACATACAATTGCATTTGACATACAATGTATACATGCCTCTCAGTACATGGGGAGCCCTGGTGGCGAAGTGGTTAAGAGCTCGGCTGCTAATCAAAAGGTTGGCAGTTCAAATCCACCAGCCACTCCTTGGAAACCCTATGGGGCAGTTTTGCTCTGTTCTACAGGGTGGTAATGAGTTGGAATCAACTTGCTGGCAATAGGTTTGGTTTTTTGGTTTTAGGTAAATGAAGATTTCAGCATGAGTTAGAGTTTCAGAACCACAGTGGTTAATGCTTTTGTCCCTTGAGACCTGTGTCTTTTGATTTCATAGGAACTGCTGACCAACCTCCACATCTCAGTCCTACCTTGGAAGGCAGCTCAGGGTACCAATCGCAGGAAATGAAAATGAGGTCAGAGAACCTGAGTTTTCATCTGGAAACCCTGGTGGTGTAGTGGTTAAGAGCTATGGCTGCTAACCAAAAGGTCGGCAGTTTGAATCCACCAGGTACTCCTTGGAAACTCAATGGGGCAGTTCTGCTCTGTCCTATAGGGTCACTATGAGTCTGAATCGACTCGATGGCAATGGGTTTGGCTTGGTTTTTTTTCTTTTTCCATTTCTCAGTTCTGAACACTTGAGCAGGTTATTGAACCTCTTCAACCCTTCATTTTTTCTTGGTTAAATGGGGACAATAAAAAGACTCGTCTCATAGGTTTTTGTGACAGTTAAATGAGATAACATGATACACTAAGCAAGGACCTGACATGTAGTAAATACTAACAGAATTCATAGAATTACAGAATTTTCACACTGGGTGGGATCTGTGATTATCCAATTCAATGGCTCTCAACTTTTGGGGATCACAGACCGTTTTGAGACTGATGACCCCTATGAGCCCCTCTCTATACAGAATAGGTAAACATATACATAGATTAGGCATCCTTGGCTCCCAGGTAAAGTACCTCTGATCAAGACCAACTCTTCCATGTAACAGGTAAGTGGGGGCTTAAATACAGTGACCCACCGTATAACTCAGAGCTTTGTAGTCAGACCAACCCGGTTCACATCCTAACTCTGTGACTTCTAGCTGTATAACCCAGGCTAAGTTATTGAACCACTTTGGCCCTCAATTTCCTCATCTGTAAAACACAGGGAAAAGATCTCCTTCATGTCATTATTAAGGGGATTAAACGAAGGGATGTATTTAATGCGTGACATTTTTAAGTATGCAATATATCAGCTCTCTTCCCCTTCTCTTACAAGTTAAATGCTTTGTTGACCTGCGCTGCCAGCAAGCAAAGACCTTAACCTTCCTTATATCTGGAAACGTCCCCAGATCAGCCTGAGGGTAGTCCATGATGCTCAGGTGGAGGAAGGGGTACCCTCACCTGCACCCCCACCTCTGGGGAAGCAGTGCCCCACACAAGGTGGCTCTGTGCCCGAGATGTCCTCCAGAGCCCAGCAGGGCAGCACGTGGCTGGTCTGTGGTTTCTGTTCTTACAGAACATAAGCAGAAATTCCCATTCCCATGTGCCAGAGGTCACAGCCGGTTCAGAGAGGTGTGAGGCCAAGTCTGTTGACTCCAGCGTGACTCACCAGTCCTCTGCCCTTTTTGATACTTACTAGCTTCCGTATACGGTCTAGCACCAGGTCGATGCTCTCCTTGCCCACTGTGTAGTGGCCCCGGGCATAGTTGTTAGCTGCATCTTCCTTTCCTGTGATCAGCTGCTCTGGATGGAAGAGCTGGCGGTAGGTTCCTGCCCGAACCTCGTCTGCCAAGAGAGGGGGACCATCAGGTTTTACCACTTGATTTCCAGAGGAGAAGCCTCTCTCCCCATTGGAATACCACATGACATGCTTCTTTATCTACATTTCCCCCATCTGCAAAGCTCCACTGAGGTAAAATCAGAGAGCATTATAATAAATCTGCAAAAGACTAAGAGACATCCAGGGTCACACAGGCACTAACAGAGCCAGAAGCCTGTGACTCAGGCAGGCAATGAGAAGCCAGCTGCTCTGTGGGCTGGAACTTCAAAAGGCCTTAGGTTTACAAACCTACCAAATGCTAAAGTTAACTGCCTTTCTCTCCTTCCACTTTGACCCCTCAAAGCTTCCCTTTTGTTTTCTCTTTCATGCTTCAAAGTTACCCTTGATACCAATAATTTGACCCAATTTTACTTGCATAAAAATGTTCCAGGGATAAGGAGAGAGATTCAGGGTGATCTGCCCAGATCCTACCCTGCCCCAGGAACTGTCCCACCCCTCATCTCCACCCAAAGGTGGCAATAACATATGTCAGGCTTTAGAGATATTTTTGGAATGACTCTGCAGCAAACTGCACTCCAGGTGTCTAGAGGAGCAGGAGCCCTAGATAGGCTGTCAAGGGGGTTCTGGACATGAGGGCGACCAAGATGCTCCAGGCCCCAACTTTACTGCCTCTTCAGAGCCCCTCCACTACCCTAGGGAAAGCACTCATTTGCCCAGGAGCCTGGGAGGGCAACCTGCGCTTTTTGCATTTGTACAAAGCATCCAGGGGATGGAGTATCTGTAGTCAGTCACCCTAGAAACTAGTGTTCTAATTACCAGCATTTTTCCAGACATCTCAGTGGAACTTGTCCATCTCTTGCTTGGTAAGTCAGCCTTGAAGCTGAGGAAATCCTGATATTGAGCTGAGGACTGACCCAGGGGTCAGACCCCATGGGAAGTGGTGGGGAAGTGAGAGGGGAGAGGTGGGGCAGCAAGAAGCAACCAGACAGAAATCAGAATTCCTCTGTTTTCCAAGCTTGAAATGAGGTTCAGTCTAGAACTACAGCAACCCCTGGCAGTGAAAGAACATGACTGCAGTTATTCCATTTTGTGTGTAAGAGACTGCAAGGTTATACCAGGCCTGTGAGGACAGGCTGCAATTATTTTGGAATCAGAAACCTATGCTTTGGGCAAACTGACTACTCGGAAACTTCTTATAATTTCTAAAGTTGTTTTGTTTACCCTTAGTATTTAGGAACAGTCTTGACAGCTTCGGTCTTTCTCTGAGGGTCTCGGGTTTAAGTTGAGAGCGTTTTGTTCTGTGTAAGTTAGAGATAATGGGGGTACAGAGATCCCTGACCCCTACTGTGAGATTCCCCAAGACTATGGAGATCCGAAGCACTGACCAAAATCAGAGAGCTCTAGTTAAGCCACCCCTACCTTCCACTTAGAGATTCAGCTTCTTAGTTATCCTGGGCCAAAGCCTCTGCAGTTTCGTGTTGTATTCTCTGTGATGAGATCGATCCCATACTCACCCACGACAGTAGGCTCCAGGTCTACCATGACAGCCCGGGGCACATGCTTCCCATTGCCAGTCTCACTAAAAAAGGTGGTGAAGGAGTCATCGTCATTGGCCTTGCTGGCTTGGACGCCAAAGGTGCCATCAGCTTGGATGCCATGTTCCAGGCAGAAGAGCTCCCAGCAGGCATTGCCAATCTGAACTCCCGCTTGACCCACGTGGATTGATATGCATTCCCGCTGTAGGGAGACAGTGTAGTCAAGGTCAGAGAGTTCTTGACCCCCAGCCATGCCTGTGCCCTACATCCCTCACATCTGAGGACTTGTCTCTCCTTGGCATTCGACTTCCAGGAAATTCATTCCTCCAGCCATGCTTCCCCAGAACCAGATGGTGTCTAAGGTTTCAGGTGGGGCCCTATGGCATCTGGACCAAAACTTGGGTCCAAAGAAGACACAATTGTTCTGTGGTTTGCTCTAAAGTTTGCTTTCCAGGGTTATTCCTTTATTCCAGGAAAAAGAAAAAGAGGGCAGCTGCACAGGTGGAATAAAGGGCTAATTTCAAACCATAAGACTCCTAGCATGAGTAAGAAGGTCAAAGGAAGAGCCAATGACAGACGTAGAAACTATGCCTAAATTCACTGCAACACACAGTGTCAGCATTCATCTTAATGCCTGTTGTTGGGCGCTGTCAAGTCGATTTCAACTCATAGCAACCCAACGTGACAGAGTAGAACAGCCTCATAGGGTTTTCTTGGCTGTAATCTTTATGAGAGCAGATTTCCAGGTCTTTCTCCCATGGAGTCTCTGGGTGGGTTTGAAACACCGACCTTTCAGTTAGCAGCCAAGCACTTAACCATTGTGCCACTAGGGCTCCTTTCTTCATGCCTAGATCCTAACTTTCCTAGACAACAGTGACACCATACAAACCACAGTCTCAGAATATCATAGAGCAGTTGAAGACTTATGGAAGGACTATGCTTTGGAAGTAAGTATAATGGGTATAGTTAGTGTTATGGTTACAAATGTAGGAATAAGAAACGATTGGTACATCAGCAAGGGAGAGTTGGGAGGATATAAATGGGGTTCTTCCTGAATTCTGAGAAATTGGAAAATCTTTGTGGACACCACAACCTTCCTCCTTGCCTATGTCAGGCCAAGTATTAAGTAAAGCTGACCTTTAGAGTGTCCTTATCTCTGTCTTACTCTGGTGTGAGGCCACAATTACTTGATTGGTCCTAGTTCTAACAGCTTAGGATGGTATGTGTGAGTGTAATTGTGTGTGTGTGTACACATGCGTGTGTACACCCACATATGAATAGTAACTTACCATGAAGTTTTGCTCAGAAGATGGGATCACCACCCTCACCTGCACCCCCACCTCTGGGGAAGCAGTGGCCCACACAAGGTGGCTCTGTGCCCAAGATGCCCTCCAGAGCCCAGCAGGGAAGCACGTGGCTGGTCTGTGGTTTCTATTCTTACCCATGACCTGACCTGGCATTTTCCAGCTCCGTGTAGCCCAGGCCAGGAGCAGAGCCTCCAGAGGGCATGGCTGGGCATGGAAGGAAGGAGAGCCCACATCTGAGTCTGGGACTCCTGGGAACTTGGAGGTTGTCTGGGCACAGGTCAGCAGAAGTGTCCCTAATTCAGTTTTACAAGTGAGCACCAATTCTGTACCTGTCTTCGTACAGAGTGACACACAGCCTCTGCCTTCAGGGAGGATAAAACCAAAAATCAAACCAGTTGCCCTCAAGTGGATACTGACTCATGGCGACCCCATGTGTTTCAGAGTAGAACTGTACACCATAGGGTCTTCAATAGCTGTAATCTTTACGAAAGAATCACTGTGGCACAATGGTTAAGTGCTAACTGCTAACCAAAAGGTTGGCAGTTCAAATCCACCAGTCACTCCACAGGAGAAAAGACGTACCAGTCTGCTCCCATAAAGATTACAGCCTAGGAAACCCTATGAGCAGTTCTGCTCTAGGGTCACTATGAGTTGGAATTGACTGAATGGTACACAACAACAGCAATCTTTATGGAAGTAGATCACCAGGCCTTTCTTCCACAGTGCTGCTGGGTGGAGTCAAACTGCCAACTTTTTGGTTAGCAGCCAAGTGCAAACCATTTGCACCACCCAGGGATCTCCATGAGTCAAAATGGACTCAGTGGCAATGGGCTTGGGGTTTTTTTGGTGGGCAAGGAAGGGCTTCAAATCCTGCCTTCTTGATTAACTTGTTGTGTGACCTTGTCTGATTTACTTAACCTCTCCTTATCTGAAAATTAGAGTAGCCCCTCATAGGGTGGTTGTGAGAATTAAATGAGGTACTGCATTTAAGGCACAAAGTACCTGGCACATAGTAAGTTGCTGATACATGTTAGCCATGATTATTGTTGTTATCTTTACTATTACCACTTTCATTATGATACTACTGTGTAGCTCTGTCCTCCACCTGGAAGACATGCATGTGGAAAGTTAGATACCTCAGGTTCCCAATCTTCTCACCTTCATTATGGGTCTAATTTGCTGCTTCCATCTTAGTACTCAATTCAGACCTAAGAAAAACAGTGTTCTGCACCCAGGAACCACCCCACAACCAGCGCATTACCAACCCAGACGGCATCCACACATCCAGCATGTAGCTGTGTCTTCCTAGGGAGGTGTCCAAAGCTGAGGGGACATTAGAGAGGACTGGAAGGAGCCCAATCCCACATATACTACTTCTAGGTGATGGCATCCCTTGTGGCCCTGACCCTCAGCCTTTTGAGCCTTGTCTCCCCACCACCACCACTGACCACCACCACACCCAAGCCACCCTCCAGCCCTATCTATGGTGCTTGGTCTCCAGTCTGCCCTCCCCTTCCGGAACACTCTAGCCTTTTCAGGGAAGATGCAGGGATATCTCAGGAAGATCAAAGATCATGGGAGGAAGAGTAAAGGATCTTGGGGGCCTGAGAACCACCAGCACAGTGATATCAATGTTTTTACTTTCTTTTGATGCTCCCCTATAATCTCACACCAATAACCAATATGCCAATTTTCATAGACAAAATGTCTCTGTCTCTCTCTCTCACACACACACCCCTTAGGAAAACCTTTTTTTCCCTGTTAAACTAATTCACAAGAGTAATTTGAAGTATAAAATAGACTCAGAAATTACTGGCAGACTCGTAGGCACTTCCAAAAGCCAAAAATGGCTACACCAATCAAAAGAAAAGGAAGGCTTCTCAATACTGTTCTCTACTAACAGGAATCAGGGTTCCCTGGAAAAAGGGAGGCTTCAAGGTCTGAGGCAAGGAATGTACAAGATGAGCCTGGAACATCTTATAGTGCCTGAAAGCAAGGAAGCTAACAAGACTGAGATGATGTCATAGATCACCAAAATCAACTTGAAGAGGCTCTTATTGCAAAGATGAGACAATCCAATCATCAAAAAAATAATGACAGTATTTGACTGAAACAGAGTGGATATATGAAAATCCACAAGTCCCTACAGCTATTAAAAAAGAGAACCCGCATCTCAAAAGCTTGTAAGCAGCCATCTAAGATACTCCACTGGTCTCACCCTGTCTGGCACAAGGGAGAATGAAGAAAAGGGAAAGATTTGTCCAAATGACTAATGGACTACAACTACCAAGGCCTCCACCAGTCTGAGTCCAGCACCACTAGATGGTGCCCAGCTACCGCCACCAACGGCTCTGACAGGGATGAAAATAGAGGGTCCCAGACAGAGCAGGAGAAAAATGTAGAACAAAATTCTAACTCACAAAAAAAGACCAGACTTACTGGCCTGACAGAGACTGGAGAAA